TCACAATACGCAGACATAATCTCCCTATGCACTCAGGTATGGTCAAATAGAGCTTCTCCACTCAGGATCATTACATTAACTAACCATTCATTCATAAGCAGGTAGAGAAGGAGTTCAGACCAGCGGTTTCAGAAATAGTGGAAGCCCTCACTGCACTGATACAGAAACAGAACAAGGAAGCAAGCAGTAGTGTAGCAGACAAGACCGACCCTTTTAGTAAATCTTTCTGCTCATCACGCACTCGCTTCATCTCCTCTCCTACCTTCAGCTACCTCTCCTCTTGACCATTTTCTGTATCTCTTCTTCATACACATATACTTTACTGTCAAAAGAATAGTTCTTAGCATATGATGATAATACTACACATAATAGTCTTGGTAAAAGGAAATTTCTTGGTATATAATAGAAATAAAGAAGAGTTTGAAACAAGGCAAAATCCTAAAGTAAGAAACAAGAGTCACTTGGTGTTCTGAAACTAAGTTTTCTAGCCAATCCCAAAGATCAAACTAAGCAGAAACCCCTGCGTTCAGCAATGTATTGATCTCTCCTCTTATATTCACAGGTCTTCCATCAAACATGGAAGAGAGACTTGTCTCACATAGCTCCTTCAGTTCTCTTGTCTTCGAAAGTGCAGCTTCCTGTATTCAACACCAAAATCGATAAACAGAATTAGTTAGATAGCCCCTTCCATTTCAAAATTTTTGATAATTCTGACACTGTTAATTCACATTTTAGCCAAAACAAGCTTTTTAAGAACATGAGCGTACCTGTTTTGGCCATATAGAAGAGAGCGAATTCTGCAGCTCCATGCGTCTTCTACTGACATCTTTCAAGCTCTCTCTTAACTTCACTTCACGGTGCTTCTTCTCCTCCAGCTCTGAAACAAGCCTATCTAGGAATCTGTACAACAAGAAAATACATCTGTGATACTCACTGTGATCCCCTGGCAGAAATTCTTTATCCTAAAGTACCTTTTGGAGTTGAGAATCATGATCAGATCCCGAGATTTCTTGTTTGTTAGCAATGAAATGGCCATGGAGATGTCAACCACCATTGGCTCTATGGTTTCAGGAGAATACTGCTGAAGAACCATGGGGGCGACTGCTTGCACATGGTGTTGCAAGGAGAGAGTATCTTCATTTCTCAGCTCTATTAAACGCTGGTTCAAAAATGCCTTGACCTGACACAAGAGAAACCACATGAAGTGTCTCAAGAAGCATCTCCAGGATTAAACTGAGCATTAGATAGTCAGGGATAAGAAAAGTACCTCATACAAATCATCAAGGATCTTATTCCTATATTCTGTCTCCAACAGCTGGCTCCTCTCTCCTCCACTCCCTAAGACTTGGGTTGTAGTATTTGTCAACTGTGTCTGATTTGATTCTAGCAAAGCTGAATCACCTATTTCTTCTACCTGAGGTGTTTCAACACTTACATCCCAAGAAATTTCAGAAACATCAACCTCATGGCCTTGGCTTTCTTCCACTTTAAATGGAGAATTCTCAGGAATATCGCTGGCATTGACAATTTCATATGAACCTAGATCGTTTACACTATCAACTTCTTCTACCATACTAACATCCCAATCTATCTCAGCAGTATCAAGCGTAATATCCCAATCAATGCTGTCTGCAGTCGCATCTGTACCATTTGCATTCTCAGACGACTGAGTATTATCAGCATCAAGAGCGTCAGAGCCCCCCAAAACGCTTAATGATGGAGGGTTTTCACGAATGTCTTTCAAGTTTTGTAAGACAATCCTCAAAGGCTTCTGCAGACAGATCAGAAGCCGGTCAATTCAACCTCCAAGACAAAAGGACCAAAAGTTTAGAGAGAAAGAGAGTAAAGTTAAGAGTGATCTTACATCTTTCTCAGTATGAACAGCTTTAACATAGGCGGAGTAGTACTCCATTGCCCCTGTTACTGAGTCACTGTTGATAACTTCCAGAATCTTACTAAAGATATTAGGAAGCGAACTCGCAGTCTCCAAAAGCTCACGCCTCACATTGTTTCCCTGATATTATAGATGTTTAAACTTTATGTGATCCTTCTAAAAAAAACCTATGGATGAAATCAAGCCAAGTTTACAACTAAACCTGCAGTCCAAGCTCCCGGCAAGCATCCTCGTATTTTGTTGCTGAGAGTGCAACGCTCCTTTTGATATCAGCTTCTTTACGATCAAGTTCCGCCATTTGTTGCTGAACCTTTTGCACTTGCTTTTTCAGGTAAGGGCTTCATGTTTTGGAAAAAGAAAATTATTTGGGAAATGCCAAAGTAGAGAGACGCTAGGTAAAATCAAGTAGTAGAGCAATGCAAGAAAGCAACTAACATTTCGTAATTGACATTCTGAATTATTATCTGAGCTGCCTCCCCAAGATAAATGTGATCTTTTTCAAACGCACGAACAATTGCTTCCCAAACTCCCTAAAAAGAGCAAAAAAAAAACAGATCACAAAATGTACAGCTTAGACAAAGAACACAAACAAAAGTGCGAAACAGAGAGAGTTTTCCTTACAGAAGCACCCGAAAGACGACCAAAGATGTTACGGCTTTCCGGAGTTGTCTTCAGGAGAATCTCATATATCTTTTTTACCTCCAAGTAACCGATCACTGGAAGCAAAACAACAAGTAACCACATTAAGCCTTTAGGCCCTCCTAATCAGCAAGCATCAGACATAACCAAACAGCAAACAAGCTTATGGTATTCACAAAGATGCAAATCAAGTCTCTTTGGCATTCTCAAACAAAAGACTAACACTTTAAGTTTTAAGTGAGAGCTGAGAACCAAAGGGCAAATAAAGATGAATTCGTTTTAAGGCCTGAAAATTCGCCAAACTGATAAAAGAAAAAAATTAGAAAAATTTAAACCTTCAGGATCTAGGGTTTGAAAGAATGGATCGATCTCTTTAGGCAAAGAAGAAAACTCTTTTAAGATTTTGACTCTGATCGCAGCAACCCTCTTCCTCCAATCCGCCGGAACTCTCTTCCGATCCACCAACCATTCTTCGAATCAAACAAAATTGAAATCAAATTAAGAAAAGTAATCACCAAAGCAGATTCGAATTCAAACGAAGAACACAAAAAGAAATCCAACAAAAAATCCAAATTTTAAAAATTCCGTGTACTCGTAATTGACAGTTCTGCATTACCACCGAGACGAGAGAAGGTGATGTCGATTGGAAGATTTTGAACATCGTCTTGTGTCGGCATTTTTTTAATTTTACGGGAAACCTTAGACGCTTTCTGGGGAAATTATCTCCGAAGAGTCTCTCTCAGTTTAACGTTTTGGTCTCTGAGTTCGTGCTCTTCGAGACTAAACAAGAACGCATAATAATTTCATCGGTCTCATCAAAAATCTCGAATTCGGTTATCGAACAAACCGAACCAATTTACTCCGGTCCGAAACAGATCAAAATTGTTTACTGGTTTTATATGGGTTGGTATTGGTTGGTTGGTCCATTACCGCGGTTAACATAAACTGATCTATCTAGTAACCACGGTTTTACGGATTAATCTACTGAATTTAATTTTTTTGTTACAAGTTAAAACTGTTTTGAGGGAATTATTTGTATGCATATTTGAGTGTTTTTGGTAGAAAAGAAAATCCAAATTAGTTTACCAGCTCAATTTTATCAAACCAAGTAGCTTAACCAAAACCAAACCTAGACCAATATATAGAGTAGTGCCCATTCAAACAAAGTACAATGGAACAGTTAGTAGATAGAGATACAAACAAAAATATTCAATCAATATATTGATAATCCGAGTTCATCGATCGCATAATATAGATTGAATATATATATTTTTTTTCGTCATATAGATTGAATGTAAAACCGGTTAGTGGATCATTAAATATCGAAATAATTTTCTTATAATATTATATCCGATGGAATTGAAAACTATATCTTAAAATAAATAAAAAATCTAATACTCGAAGAATATAATAATTGTAGTTTAGAAAACAAACAAAAAATATTTATACAAGTTTGTTATCAGCAATGTGACTAGAGAGAGAAGAAGAAGAGAGGGGATGGAAAAGGACATGTTCTTGACCGCTTTATCAGAATATTTTTCTTGGTTTCATACAAAAAAAAAAAAAAAAAAAGTCGTCTTCTAATATTTTAAGGTAGAAGAAACTTTTACAAAATTATAATAATTAATAAAAAAAATAAAAAGGAGTTTGTCTTTTGCTTCTTCTCTCCAATCTCCATTTTTCTGCCAATATCCTTCTTAAGCTTTGAACCCTCTCCACTTCAATATAACCGACCTCTCTTCTCTCTAGTCTCTTCTCTCTCCCTGAAAAAAAACACCAAAGTAGCTTTAAATGCTCCGTTACATAATCTCTATCTCTTTCCAAGAATATAGAGAAAGAAAAATAATATACAAGAATTAAAGAAGATATATCTCATCTCTCTAGTGATCAAAGCACCGTCATCATCATCATCATATATCATCAGCTTTGCCTCAGGAGAGAAGACCAAAACATAAGAGAGATCGAAGATCAAATCTATCTCTCTTCATCATCTTCTGCTGTTACTATCATTCACACACACGCTCTCTCAAACATCATCCCATATATAGATAGACTTCTCTTCATCATCAAATGCAAGGTCATCACCAGAATCATCATCAACAACACTTATCATCATCCTCTGCCACGTCTTCCCATGGAAACTTCATGTAATTTTTAGTCACATACTATTTTTATGACTTTTTTAATTGATGATGATCCCCATGGTTTTAATAAGAGAGCTTTATGTATGCAGGAACAAAGATGGGTATGATATTGGAGAGATAGACCCATCACTCTTCCTGTATCTTGATGGACAAGGACATCATGATCCTCCATCAACTGCTCCTCCTTTACCTCATCATCATCACACAACTCGTATGCACTCTCTCTCTCCTTTCTTTTTTTGGGAATTGGGGTTTGGTTTTGGTTTCAGCAGATAAGGAAGATTCCCTTTAGGTACGGTGAGAGAGAAAGAGAGTCACAGCAAAAGCATGCCAAACAGATTTCAATCTTTCTTCTGCCATCAGTACTCTCTATACTTTCAGCTTTGAGCCTTTGACCAGATCCTCTCTTTTCAGACATCAAATCTTTCAAAACCATATCTCTTACACTTCTAACTCTTTCTTTAAACCCTTTTCTTTCTCTCTCTCTCTCTCTAATTAGAAGAACTAGTCCACTCATATATTTATAGACATGACTTGTTATAACTAGACCATTTCCCATACATGGTCACATGACTCATCTATGAATCTTATGGCAGAGAATTTGGCGATGAGACCTCCATCGACGCTCAACATCTTCCCATCTCAGCCGATGCACATAGAGCCACCTCCTTCTTCTACACACAATGTAATAATAATAATGATTACTTTTATATTTCTATATATATGCCAATTTTAGTTGGTTTCTGTTTCTAATTTAATATAATGTCAGCGCAACTACTAGCTATTTCATATAATATCAAGTCAGACCAATTATTATACGTTTCTCATTTTTCTATTGAGTAGTGATTTGATTGTTTTTTTGGTTCTTTTATATAATGTGTTTGGTAAGACCGATAGTACAAGATTAGTTCCGGCTGCTCAACCTAGTGGTTCCACTCGACCATCTTCTGACCCGTCCATGGACTTGACCAATCATTCTCAGTTTCAAACTCCTCAAGCTTCTAAATCCATCAAGGTCTCTATCCATTTATATATTTTAAATCATTTAATTACTTTGTCAAGGTATAAATCGAATATAGTTTTTAGACTTCTTGTTGTGGTCGTTTTGTAAGTTAATGGGTCATATCTAAAATGTTATGGCAGAAGGAAGGAAACCGCAAGGGTCTTGCCTCATCGGACCATGACATACCGAAATCGTCAGACCCTAAAGTGGGTGTATTCATACAACTGCAGAAATAAGATTTTTTTTTTTTTTTTAATAGCTTTTGGGTTGTTTTTGATAGTTTCTTTATTAATTTAATTTCTCAACAGACATTGAGAAGACTAGCACAAAACAGAGAAGCAGCAAGAAAAAGCAGATTACGTAAAAAGGTCAGCATTCAATATTTGTAAGTTGCAAATATTGTTTTATATCCAAAATAATTTATAACGTTATTCACTTTGGTAAATTACGACAGGCTTATGTTCAGCAACTAGAGTCATGTAGGATCAAACTGACCCAACTAGAACAAGAGATTCAACGGGCCAGATCCCAAGTAAACATTTGAACATGTTTTTCATATATATTATATTTCACCTAAAGTCTAAAATGTACCAATTTGATTTCCTATGTTTAGGGCGTATTCTTTGGAGGATCTCTTATAGGAGGAGATCAACAGCAAGGTGGACTACCCATTGGCCCTGGCAACATCAGCTCCGGTACGTTAATAGTTTCATATATACATGTGATGACATAGAAACCGTAAATTTTAAAAACCGAGAGAGAATGAGATATTGAGTAAATGCAATGTATGTGAAGCAGAAGCAGCGGTGTTCGATATGGAATATGCGAGGTGGTTGGAGGAGCAGCAGAGGCTATTAAACGAACTAAGGGTGGCGACACAAGAGCACTTGGCCGAGAACGAGCTTAGGATGTTTGTGGACACTTGTTTAGCTCATTATGACCATTTGATTAACCTCAAAGCCATGGTCGCTAAGACCGATGTCTTCCACCTTATTTCTGGAGCATGGAAAACTCCAGCCGAACGTTGCTTCTTGTGGATGGGTGGTTTCCGTCCATCGGAGATCATTAAGGTACATCTCATTTTTTCTTATAAATATATGTAGGTTTTTTTATAGATTTTTACTTATTCTATTCGAGCCACACCCACACAATAATTAGTTATGATGATATTGTAAACTAATCAAATATGATCAATAGATAATCCTAAAATTTTGGAATTTTACTTGAAGACTAATCACTTTAAATTTTATCTTAATTATAACCTAAAATATTCCAGGATACAATCATTAATATATCAATTTGTGGATTACTTATTTATATCGAACATATATGTGTGCACAGTGCACAGAATATAGTACTTCCAACTTTATTCAATATATTAATAAAATGTAGAATTTTTTTTTAAATTAGTCTTTTATTCTCGTAAAAGAGGTACGGTATAGTAATAATAGATAAGACAGACAAGACATAGACTATAGTAATATTGTTGGACGAGGTATACCGTATATATATATACATATCATTGCATGGGGTGGACTCTATATGTATAAAACCAACCTATATATGTCTATCTCTTTATATTACGACAATAATAAAGGTACACGGAAAATTAATTCTAAAACAAATAAAGAATGCATGCAATTGTGTGTGATGGTGAAGTATCTCTAGAAATGGTTAGGTTTTGGCATAATGCAAAAGAAAGTGTCTGTCTGTTTTTTCGTTTTATGGTCCATAGGTGAGAGAGATAGACATAAACCACCATGAAATTCAACAGACACGACCATAATAAAACAAAACAAAACAATTATATAAAACCTTTTTAGCATGCTCGTCATTATTCGTTGGATGATGAACAGGGGTAAACCTTTAAATTCACCTAACAGATTATAGCCAATCGTTTTGCCATGTCATTACTAATACTAGAGAATTAAAAAAAAAACACAATTAAAAAAATGGAAATCAGAAAATAGATTTAGGGTTTAGAATATAAATTAATATATGGATGGTGTGCATACTGACAAGACCTTTGGCAATGTCTCAATCTTATATCCTTTTTAGTGAAAACAAAAAGGAAAGAAGAGATTTTGGGTGTAGCTAGTAACTCGTGCATAGTACACTACACACTTTAATGCATTCAACGTTCTGTATGCATCCATTACGACCATTGTTAATCCTCGATATCTCAACCTGTATGTATTAATTTGAAACGCATGCATGCAGGTGATTGTGAACCAGATAGAACCACTGACGGAGCAACAAATAGTTGGGATATGTGGACTGCAACAGTCCACACAAGAGGCCGAGGAGGCTCTCTCGCAAGGCCTCGAGGCATTGAATCAATCACTTTCCGATAGCATTGTCTCTGACTCTCTCCCGCCTGCCTCCGCACCACTTCCTCCTCATCTATCCAATTTCATGTCACACATGTCCTTAGCTCTCAACAAGCTCTCTGCTCTCGAGGGCTTCGTTCTCCAGGTACCCTCTAAATCTTTATTTTTATTTAAAGTATATATGCAATTATATATCAATATACCAATCTTTAATTTTTATATAAAAATACCTATAGAGATGATATACAAGTGGACCCCTAGAGGATATATGTGGTTCTAATCAGACTAGGAGTACATATTATGATTCTTTGAACTACTCCTTATTAAACACAACTATCATATACTTATATATTGATATATTTGGTTGTTATAACACGCTATCTAATTTATATAGATGTTTGTATGTGTGTGTATGTTTTGTGTACAACTCATATATAGGTATAATGTCGGCCATAATTTGTTAGAGGACATTCGTTTAAAACTATTATAAAAAGTGGTTGATTTTAAAGAGTATGTCAAAACTAATTTGCAAACTTGATAATTATGCACTAATATATACTGTATGTGTATATGAAATGAAAAGTATTTAGCCTCTTGATTCCGATTTTATGCAAGTAGGTATCTAACAAACACTTCTCTTGTCTTATATCAACTTGGTCGGGTTGCTTTTCTTAGAAGACTAAGTTTATTAATTTAATATTTATTTTCTTAATCATTTACTAGTTTAGGACAGGCAAGTTTATGAAATAAATAATATATATGCTTGTGTATTAATGTATAAGCCTATACTCTACATGCAAATGGGCATTTAGGCTAATTAATTTTATACAAGATTCATGCATATACAAATTGGCATCTTTCATTTTTAATGATTTATCAATATAATTAGTTCTAAATTGTTTAGCCATTAAAAAATCAAGTTTAGCTAGCTTCACGCATAGTCGCTTACAACCTTCCATCTCATCACAATTTGGAGAAAGGTTCCAATTTTAAAAGAGGTGGTAAATGTGGGGTTGGTTACTTAAAAGGGGTAATGGATTCAAACTTCTCTAAACGCACGTGACAATTGGCACCATGAAAGTATGTATTAAGTATATATTTTCAAATATATGTAGTCCAAAAGTATACAATACATATAATTAGGTATCTATAATATATCACATCAAATAAAAACATGGAATGCTCTTATCAAAAAAAACATGGAATGCTTGGAGCCCATATCGTTGCATGATGTCATGGTCTCATGGACGTAACTGCCCAAGTATCCCATCCTCCGGAAACACTTCCTTGAGAATAATTCCTTCACTTACATTTGATTCCTCATTATTTGTGTCTACTTTTATATCATAATAATAGGTTGATTTTTTTTGGTAGGATTAATAATAGGTTGATTATAAGCAGTGATTCTAATTTCTTTTTAACCCTTTATTAAAAAAAAAAAATAGTGATCAAAGTATCATGAAGTATGGCGTGGGACCGAGGGTATGGAATTCACGGTTTCACCTTTTTGACAATTTGGTGTCGTGTTCTTATTAGTGTTAGTAACAATCTTTGATTTTTGCTCGATCAACATGTTGAATAACCGGCTTTAGTCGTCAATCAACCATATAATTTCGGGTCATGCAGCTGAATCATTTGATTCATATTTCAATTTCTACAAAATACATAATGTTTATAGACTACTAATTTAATAGCCCGCGCTTTGCGCGGTTAAATCAATGTAGAAATTTATTTTTTACTCAAATGATTAGCAAATTGTATTTTTTTTCTTTAGCAATTAGTTATAAATTTGTGTAACAGTATTTTGTATATACATTGAGTCAAAAAGATTTTTCAAAAAGATATTGTAGAGATTCTGGGAAATATAGTGAAGAAGAACAGTTTTTTAATTTTTTTTGTCGTAAATTGGTGTTAAAAAAAAAGGTAAAAGAGTAAAATTTTAGACTTAAGACATGTGTCAAATGGAGAGATATGCAGTTATTTGGAAAGTGACTTGTGATTTATTATAATAGGATTATTAGTTGTCAAAATAATGCTTAGTCACTTAACATATACCAAGAAGTATAAAAAATAATGCTAAGTCTTTTATTTTTTTTCTTCTAGTTAGTCTATTATACTTCGATTTATTAGACTATTATTGATGGTCCATGTCAGTTAACTGGTCTTACTCAATAACATGAGCACTACTTTGTTGTATTTTGCTTGTTTTTACTAGATCTCCGTTACGAAAAAAAAATAAAAAAATACTAGATCTCCGTTTTCTCTTTCTTATTTAGTTTTGAACTAATACATTAGAAACTTACAGGCGGATAATTTGAGGCACCAAACGATCCATAGGCTGAACCAATTGTTGACGACCCGTCAAGAAGCACGGTGTCTTCTAGCCGTAGCGGAGTACTTCCACCGTCTTCAGGCTCTAAGTTCTCTCTGGCTAGCCCGTCCTCGGCAAGACGGATGATACTAAAACAACTGATGATCAAGGAAATAAAACAAAAAAGAAACAAGAGAATAGGTTGATTAGTTAGCCAGCTTGACCTCTTTATCATATATTGTCTCTCTACTCAAATACAGTGCAATTAGGGAAAATTGTTTGGCTTCTTTTTGTTATATGATTCTTACTACATGTTTTTAATTAAGATGCCGATTATATAGACAAGTATTACATACCTCTAATCAATTCGTCCTTCTGCAAGTGAAAAGTTAGACTTGATCTTCAATTCCAAACACAAGAACATATACTAATTGTTTCTAAGAAAATGAAAGCTTATTAAAAGGAAACAAAAAGTTAAGGCTGGCAACAATTGCAATTGCATGCAAGACTTGTTTACTTGTTAGGTCAAATTGTAACATTGACAAGTGAGGAAGGTGACGAATGGTGAGTTTTGTTGGATACCGTCAGGGACTTGGGATCAGTACCGTTTTGCTTTGGGTTCAACGCCCTCTTTCTTCTTTTACTTTTCATGTCTTTGCTGTCACCAGTTAATTTTTCAACTCTTTTATTTTTTATTTTTTTGACTGATAAAAGTGTACATTAGTACACATGCATGGTCAAACCAAAAAGAAAGATTATTTTACATCGCAACAAACGAGATTGATTTAGTTTCCAATTTTAAATATTTGGAAAAACAAAAAAGTTTCTAAGTATACACCAGCAATCAGATATTCAGATGATACATGTGTGACGACAAATTGTTTTAGGACGTAAAGTTTTCTATTGAAATTCTTTTCTTTCAGAAAAGGAAAAAGATTACAAACAGATCATTATAACCTTTAAGCCCACTAGTTTTGGGTTTTAGACTAAAACCCAACAACACAGTACATGATAGAGAACAGAACCAAACAGAACAAATAATAAAAAACAGAGCAGACAAACACACACGAACAAAAGAAACACAAGTTACGAGCAGAGAGGACCTGAAGCCACAAAGAACTTGTACCATTCAAAGCATACAATCTGCTTTTGAAGGTAATTTCCTGAAGAAGTTACTTGGAGCAGACGGCATCTTGCTTCTGAACTTAGGATGCCTCATCCAGAACATCCCAGCCGCAAGAGCTATGATCTTGAAAGGCGTCACGTACAATATCATCGCAGCAACAAGACAAAAAATCACAAACAAGCAAGTCGCACGCGGATCTCTCCAACTCAACAGAGCTTGAAACCTCTCTCCTTGCGTTGCAATGTCTCCAACAACCATCTGGATCCGACCCGCTACGCTTCTTAACCTATCATACCTCATCTTCACAACATCTTGTCCCTTTGAAGTTGGGAAAGTATCGAATTCCTCATCTAGCTCATCGGGGCTAGCCGCTTCAGCCCATGAGAGCTTTATGTCCATATGAGCAGGATGGCGTGTCCTGAACCTGAAATTCCAGAGACCTATCAAGAACATGTAGAGGAATGTGGTCGGGAGTATCAGCTCCGGATAACAGATCAGTATAAAGAAGAGAACGTGGAACAATATCGACGTCAATGGATTCTTCCAGTAGCAGACGTCACCAAGCCATTTGCTCATAGCAATCAAGCCTGAAAACACAGAGACTATCCTGAAGAAGTTAGCTTTGCTCCTCCTCATGCTCCACATGTGTGAATCAACATCGAGCATGTACTCTACGATCTCTTTCCTTAAAGGAGGTTCTGCTCGGGCTAACCGCGCTGAAACAATGCTCATTGCTTGGTATCTAAGACTGTCTAATTGGTTCACAGTGAATGGATGAAGATAATGCATCTTTGGAAGCAGAGGATGGCCATAAAGATAGATCATGTGAGCCAATGATAGACAAGTGAATCTCACAGCTAGTTGGACTTCTCCCATTTTCTTTAACCCTTTTGCTTGCAGAACAAGAAGAGGGTAGGAGTGAGTGTAGATTCTATCAGCCTCTAGAGTCGATAATCGGATTCTTACCTTCCCGATTCTCGAATCCACTTTGGCTCCACTGTTCGATTTCTCACTCCCGCCAAGGTGACAGTTATCGAAAACTCCCAGTGTGATAACTGTACAAGGATCATACACTTCCCATGTGTATTGCTCATTCCATTTAGGGTTATAGCTCTCAATGATGGTTCTTGTTCTCACCCATTTTTGTCCATACTTGGCAACACAATATGGATCTGTTGTCGCTTTACCGTCTTTTGTTTTCATGGGCGAAAGCCCTTGAGCACTCAAGATTCCTACTTCAAGGATGCCAATAGGTTGCTTCCACAGTTGCCTTGCCGTAGGTTTCACGTCACTGATGTACAGAGTTGATTCGTCCATTACATGGTAACCGCCTTCAAGGCAAACTCGTAGGTGGATTCGGCTTGAGAACTTGAGCTCGTGCCTCTTGTCTCCTTCCAGGGCACCAAACCCAAACTTTTCGAGGTTGTACCATTTGGAATGAACAGCCCTGTGATCTAATCTTTTCTCAAAGACGCTCAAAGGTGAGATCAGCCTCCCCATAACTTCATCTTTAGCTGGTGTCACCTTGTTTTCTACCGTCAAAAAGAACTGTTCTTCAAATGGCTCTGCCGCTACAAAAACAAGATCTTCGTTCCACATCGGATTTGTTGTCTTGTTAGGACATAACTTTGTTTTCAGAATCTGATTCCCAACCTGAACCTTAACGAAAGCTTGAGGTGGTTGGCTCCTGTCACTAGGCTCAACATCTTGCGCCTCGATGACATTAACCCGCAAATACCACAATTTGGGAGATACATAGACTTTAGACCTCACACTTTGGACACCTTCTCCTTGAACAGAGGAAGCATCCGAATGCCAAGCATCAGGAAATGCTTCATCAGCTTGCGTCCCAAGCCAAACCGCTACCATAACCTCTCCTCTCTTCTTACTTTCACCTCGGCGATCTTCTAATCTGTACCACTGTGGTGCAAGTGGACTATCAGGAGGAACTCTTGTAGGAACCTCACGCATATCAAACACAACCTTCCCGATGTATTCATCTCTTGTAACCATCTCCTTATCGCGCACAAATACTTCGACTGTAGAGGATTGGACCTTGTCTTTTGAAAAGGCGAAAACTTGATTCCACTCCGGGTTGGTTCTTTTCTCGAAATGTTTAGTCTTTCCTTTGTAGTTTCCTATTTTCACTTCCACATAAGGATCACAATTGCTCGTGACGGGGTTTGGAGGAAGATCCTTGGCTTTGACGACCCGAACATAGAGATAAAACATTTGCTCAACAAGGTCGTATGTGCTTGCAGCTCGTTCACTGCCAATCCATCCGGTTCCTCCACGTTGTCCTCCATGTGGCCATCTCTCTCCAAGCTCTGGTTTCATGTCTTTAAGCTTATAGTCTTCTTGGCTCTTAGCTCCATCTTTGGCTGCCATGGTTATAGATTACTTGAACCAAAATATTCTCTGCTTCTTTCAAAAAACGCTTTGATTCAGCACTTGACATACAAAAAAAAAAACAGAATATGAGAACTGCAGGAAAAAATGATTTAGACAAAACCAGTTTCTTGGATGTAAAGAAACTAATGTATCTAATTAGAACTGATTTAAAATCTTAATAATTAGTGTTAAGAAATTTACTTTCAATCTTAAACAAGATAATTGATAAGATTCTTACCTGATTTAAACGATATACTAAAGTGGTCGACGCAAATCTAAGCTTCTGTCTCCCTGTTCTGTTTCATGAACTCATGCAAGTGTTTGCAGGAAAACACAGAATGGCTTGGATCATCTTTTGCAAAGGTAAGTGAAGGATTAATACCAAAACGAGAAATACAGAGTAAGTGATGAGATAAAGAAGATAGCAAACAAAATCAATGAAAGAGATATCAATATTATACGAACTTAAAAAAAAAACAGAGCTATTTTTATATGGACCAACAATATTTCAAGAACATGCATATATGTAAAGAATGATGCGTTTAATTAGTCAGTAGTACCTTGAGAAAGATGTTGAAGAAGTTGCCATAAGATTCTCTGTTTTGAAGTTAAGCGTATTGCATAGTCAAATTTTGGTTTGATACACAGAGAGAGAACGAAAGAGAAACAATTCTATTACACAGAACAAGAAGAATCAAATGAATAAAAGCAAGAACCAAAAAAATTTACTTTTATTCGCTCTGTTTTTCTCCTTCTTTTAGAGGGAAGCTGATTCTTTTTTTTTTTGTTATCTTCGTTTTATTAAATAGGGAAGCAGATTCTTCGTTAAGTCTTTATGTACATTAAGAAATTGTTGCAGCAGTGACAAAGGTAGAAATAGTAGATTCTCTCACACTTAAAAATATTACACCAAATATTAGCCAAAGGGCCTGACTAATTTCAAGGATGAATAAACCACGGATAAAACACTCAAACCCAACATCAAGCGACACTTTCTCATGCTTTAATCTTGTATAAAAATATATAATAAAACAAGTAAACATAAATTTACAAGAACTCACAGATATCCTAATATATTCAGTGCCAAGGTGATAATTAGAAATATGTTATAAAAACATTTACAACACAAACTTTCCCCTGTGAGCATATATATCTCTAGTGTTTCTTTCTTTCTGTCTGATTGGAATAAGCATCTAAAAAATAGCTTTTTCGAGTCTGAAACTTTTTCATAAAAAGCAAGAGGGCAGGCTAAGAATTGATTATTATTTGATTGAGTAACATCATTACCTTATTATCTCGCCATTTTTAATTCTAATGTCCGCACTAGAGCTTATTAAACAATTTGGTAAAAAGAATTAGTGAACCAAGACTAAATCGACCCTAAACCAGAGATGAAACCAACTTCAGTTGGATCGACATTTCCCTTTGTAGTTGTCCCAAACCAGAACCGGTTCTTCACTCAATTGCATTTGTTTAATGTGACCAGGTTTCAACAATAGCAAATGAGCTACTCTTACGAGGATGTTCTCAAATTTTTTGAAAATCATGTAACAGATAAACTTTTAGATGAGTTCTACACAATTTACAAGAAACCTTTTTAGGGATGTTTTTACCAACGAAGATGACTTTACTTTGCCTAAAATTCAAAACCTCCCAAAAGAAAGAGAAAAGAAGAAGAAAAAAAAAGGTGTGGAATAAGTTCTTATATTGGTTCTTTATCAAAAAAGTTATAAGTTGGTTCTAACATTTTTACTTAGTATGTGAACTAAAAAAAAAAAAAAACTGGAATGCTTATTCTTTTTGGACCTTTTATGAAGGCTAATTTATTTTTTATGAACCAACTTATCAAGTTGGAAAGGATACAACTTTAGTGGTCTGCTTTTGCTGCCTCAATGATGCTTAGTAATGATGACTATATTATTATGTGTTAATTTATATGTTCACTTATGCATCAACTTGATAGACTTGTCACACACACATAATATCCATTTTTCTCGGTTTAGTTTGGTTCACAAATACGATTTAATAATGTACAACGAAATCAAAGCCGAATGGTACGATCAAGTTTAGAAGGCAGCTGTCATTTAGACTTGGCGTGAACATTAGACATTTTACATTGTGGTTCAGATACAGAGGACGAGTGTAGATCATCATTTGTAAACTAGTATTAGAGCATCTCCAATGGTAGACACCCATAGAGTGTTTCACCAATATAATATTAATATTTTTATGTTTAATTTATTTAGAGAAACTCACACTAAAATTTTACTTCTATTGGTGAGATATCTCTATGGGTGTCTCATCAATATAATATTTATATTTTTATATTAAATTTAATTTTTCAATAATATTTTTAAACATATCAAATTATATCTTAAATATAGTCATTCAAACAAAATAATTATATTTTTATAGAAGTAACTAATATAATATTAATAATTTTAAAAACATTAATTAATAGTACTATTAATTATAAATAATATATTAAAGAGACTATTATTTTTAAAACCACAATTAAACATAAATTGAATTTTAAAAAACATATAAAACCATAATAAAGATATATAAATTAAACACAAAATTACATATAAAACCATGATAACATAAATTAAAATGCAAAAAAAAACATACAAAACCAAAATAGATAATATATGTTTTACTCTTCACTTGATGATGCGCCAAACTTTTGCCATATAGATTTTAGTTATATTGGACATTTTATAAATAATGAAAAAAGATAACACATTATTTATCAAAATATCAAAATGTTGACAAAATATGAGATTATTCATCTCAGATTTATTTTCTAATATTATAGTATTTTTATTAACTAAAAATATTAATTTAAACTTTACTAATATCAATTAAAAATTATATTAATAAATAGTTTAAACTTTTGTATAATGGAACTTAATATATAGATAATTTTATTTTATGAATTGTAGAAAAATAAAAAATAAAAAATAGTAACTTATAAACTATTTAATTGATATTATAAATCTTAGAGTAATTGAATTTTTTTAAAAAATTGTTAAACCAATATATGAGTGACATGTGTATGAGAGAGAGAGTCTCAAAATATCTCAAATGAGAAACTTATCTCAAAGTGTCTCAGCTTTTTCGATTAAAAAATTATTTTTTATTTATTTTTGATTTATTTTTATTATGGATGTCTCATGGAGACACTATTGATGGAAGTGCTCTTAATATTTTTTTAATGTGTAATGCTATGTTTGTTTTAAATAAAACTTTATTTTTTGAGAATGGGATCGTCATAGTGCCCACTATGATCGAATTGGGCCTCATTTACGTTCATTGAGAGTAATTAAGCCCACACTTAGGCTCTTACTTGTTCATAGATTTATCACTTCTCCCAATAGAGCCGTTTGTGATAAATCTATTACTCGCTTCACACTTGCACCAGTTATAGCCTAACTATAAACAACGCGTAATTGCATTACCCAAACAATTTCAACGCCGACATCTTGACTATATGATATGTATTGACTATTATGACGTTCCATGTGTAATCAGAGATCAAATCGAATCCGTCTCTCTAAGTCTATATCACTCACTATATAGTACATATATATGTATCATTACATTTTCATCAAAAATTCAAAACCGATACCAAACACACCAACACAACCATGGATAAGAAAATGACAGTGCTTTCGTCTCTCTTGTTCTTGTTCACATTCCTCACGATCTCTTTGTCTAAAGATCTTTGTAACCAAAATGACAAAAACACCCTTCTAAAGATCAAGAAATCCCTAAACAACCCTTACCACCTGGCTTCGTGGCACCCCGACACCGACTGTTGCTCATGGTACTGCCTCGAGTGCGGCGACGCCACCGTTAACCACCGCGTCACCGCCCTAACTATATTCTCCGGCCAGATCTCTGGTCAGATCCCTCCTGAAGTCGGTGACTTGCCGTATCTTGAGACCCTTGTCTTCCGCAAACTCTCTAACCTCACCGGTCAAATCCAACCCACCATCGCTAAACTCAAGAACCTCAAGTACCTCAGGCTCAGTTGGACAAATCTGACGGGTCCAATTCCTGATTTTCTAAGTCAGCTCAAGAATCTCGAGTTCTTAGAACTTTCCTTCAATGATCTCTCTGGTTCCATACCAAGTTCACTCTCTACGTTACCTAATATCATGGCCCTTGAACTTAGCAGGAACAAACTTACAGGTAAAGAACTCTCTCTTCCTTGTTTTCAATCATCGAGTTTCTTGTTTAAACAACGATCTCTTTGTTGTAGGTTCAATACCAGAGTCATTTGGGTCGTTTCCAGGAACAGTCCCTGACCTTCGCCTATCACACAACCAGCTCTCCGGTCCAATACCCAAATCACTAGGCAACCTCGACTTTAACCGGATCGATTTCTCCCGGAACAAGCTCGAAGGTGATGCTTCCATGTTGTTTGGTGCCAATAAAACGACATGGTCCATTGATTTATCAAGAAACATGTTCAACTTCGATATCTCAAAGGTTGAGATCCCTAAGACACTTGGTATCTTGGACTTAAACCACAATGGGATCACAGGGAATATTCCGGTTCAGTGGACTGAAACTCCTCTTCAATTCTTCAATGTTAGCTACAATAAATTGTGTGGACATATCCCAACAGGAGGGAAACTTCAGACATTTGATTCTTATTCCTATTTCCACAACAAGTGTTTGTGTGGTGCTCCCCTTGAAATTTGCAAGTGAACCAAGCTTGTCTCTAGGATTTCGAAAAAATCTATTTGAGTCAATATAGACAAATATGTAATATTATTCGGATTGATTAATAAAACATGAACCAAAACTCGCCTTTGATGAATTCATAGCACATTTTCAAAGTGTTTGATTTGATGGATTAGTATAGTATAGTATAGTAGTCATTAATGGAAAAAAGTCAAAAACAGGGGAAATAAGGATACAAACGGAATCTTTGAGTTACGGTTTGGTATGGTTCTCAATTCGCTTTGGGTTTTATACCCGAATATGAAAAGTGAAACCAGATTGGTTTAAATAAAGAAAACAAAAGAGAGAGAGAGGAGAGAGAAAACCCTAATTTCCATATTCTTCCAAATTCCCAAATTTCTCTGATCGTCACAGAATTGCATTCTCGCAATCGCTTTGTAATCACAGTCTCATCATCGCACCGTTGCTGTGGATTTCGAGTGGAAGGGCACTCTTGATGGAATCAAAGATGACTACGAGCGCGTCTACTTCAAAAGATCCATTCTTTTGCTTGAAATGGCCTTGGGATTCTAACAAACATCCCAAATCTTCAAGCGTCTGCGACTTTCAAGGACCGTGGCTCTTCAGATCTATGCAAACTGTTGGTTCAATTGCTCTCAGCTCCTTGACTTCATTTGGTCAAAACTCCAATTTTAGACCAAAGAAGAAACCTTTAAGTAGTTGTGAGCAAGGAGAAGCAGAGCAGATGGCTTTTGCAGCTGCTTTAGCTAGCCAGAAAGAAGCTACAGTGCTTCAATTTTACTCACCCAAATGCAGACTCTGCAATTCGTTGCTCAACTTTGTTTTAGAGGTAGAGAAAAGGAATTCAAACTGGCTCAGCATTACAATGGCAGACGCAGAGAATGAGAAATGGTTTCCTGAGGTCTACTAAATTAAGCTCTTTATCTCTTCTCTCTGCATTACAGAGCTTTTTCTTGATTGGTAAGACTTAAAGATTTCATATTTCTGTTTGTCTAAAATGCAGCTTCTCCACTATGACATAAAGTATGTTCCTTGCTTCGTTTTGTTGGACAAAAATGGACAAGCTTTGGCCAAAACAGGAGTTCCAACTAGTCGTGCTCACGTCATTGCCGGTATCTCTCATCTTCTCAAGATGAAGCGCCCACCGTCGGATTCGGATTAGTTGGTTGATTCCACATTTGGTGCAGACAAGTTTTTGAAAACCCCAAGACTTACAATTCAAGAAAAGAAGAAAATCAAGCTACAAGGAAATTAAGCAACAAAAAAGAGTTTGGACGAGTGCTTTTGAATCGCTTAAAATTGTGGACGCAGGGCAACATTAATCTTAAATCATCTTTTTAATAGTATGTATTAACTTATTTAGTGCTTTCCCGAGAAAGAAGAACCAAAAAGTGGATATTTCAAATAAATTCAAAAATTTCTGCACCGAAACTTGTTTAAAACGTGGTCTAGTCAGTAAAAATCATTACTACATCTGTATCGCACCATGCTCCCTCCAATTCATAGCCTATATATCATCAAACCATTGTTTCCATAATAACTCAAACACAAACACAAAAACACACTATGGATAAGACAATGACACTGTTCTTGCTCTTGTCCACTCTCCTCCTCACGACTTGTTTAGCTAAAGATCTCTGTCACAGAGATGACAAAAAAACCCTCCTCAAGATCAAGAAATCCCTAAACAACCCTTACCACCTCGCCTCATGGGATCCCAAAACCGACTGTTGCTCTTGGTACTGCCTCGAGTGCGGCGACGCTACCGTCAACCACCGTGTCACTTCCCTAATCATACAAGACGGCGAGATCTCCGGTCAGATCCCACCTGAAGTCGGTGACTTACCGTATCTTACTTCCCTTATCTTCCGCAAACTCACTAACCTCACTGGTCACATCCAACCCACTATCGCCAAACTCAAGAATCTCACTTTTCTCAGACTAAGCTGGACGAATCTCACAGGTCCGGTTCCTGAGTTTCTGAGTCAGCTCAAGAATCTTGACTACATTGACCTTTCCTTCAATGATCTCTATGGTTCCATACCAAGTTCTCTCTCTTCATTACCTAAACTCGAGTATCTTGAACTTAGTAGGAACAAGCTTACAGGTATGAGGTATATAACTTTGTTTTTTGTTTGTCTCTATTTAAAATGTATTTTTTTTTGTATCTAACCACAAGTTTAAACTTCAATTTAGGTCCGATACCAGAGTCATTTGGGACGTTTTCAGGAAAAGTCCCTAGTCTTTTCCTATCACACAACCAGCTCTCTGGTACTATACCAAAATCACTAGGCAATCCCGACTTTTACCGCATCGATTTATCCCGGAACAAGCTTCAAGGCGATGCTTCGATCTTGTTTGGAGCTAAAAAAACGACATGGATCGTTGATATATCAAGAAACAAGTTCCAGTTCGATCTCTCCAAGGTTAAGCTCGCTAAGACACTTAATAACTTGGACATGAATCACAATGAAATCACAGGGAATATTCCGGCTGAGTGGAGCAAAGCTTATTTTCAGTTACTCAACGTTAGCTATAACAGATTGTGTGGACGCATCCCAAAAGGAGAGTTTATTCAGAGATTTGATTCTTATTCCTTTTTCCACAACAAGTGTTTGTGTGGTGCACCTCTTCCCAGTTGTAAGTGAAGATTCAAGCGAAGCCAAGCTCTATCTCTAATGTACCAAATAATCAATCGTCTCTAATGAATGAGTAATGACAACTGTTATCTTTATTTTGAGTGATTAATAAAAGTATGAACCAAACTTGCATTTGATGGACTCATAGCACATTTTCAAAATGTATTTGATCGTTTACGAAGCTTCATTCCCGCGCGTCAATGGTTGATCTCTTCTCTACCATTGATACTTTATGTATTTTAATTGTCAAGAAGATGATGATAGAGAGCTCCATTCTCATCCTTGATTGATCTCTGCTCTACCATTGGATTCCCAACTTGCCTTTAAGTTTCTCTATTTGGCAATAGTTTCACTTCTATCAAGAAGTATCAAGTGAATAGTCAAAGTAAGAGGATAAATCCATAATATTGGTCCAGTTTGTTGCTTTTCACATGCTTTGTATATTACACCATATTTTATTTGCGACAAGTTTTTAAAAAGTGCGGTAAAATGTTTTTACACAATGATAACTTTTCATGAGCTAGAAGTTGACGTTTGGTTCTAGTGGAGAAAATGATTGTATATCCTCTTTAGCAACAGGTGGAAGACCTTCACTTTCAGCTCAAACATTGTATTAACGCAGCTAATACGACTGGAACAAATCTATATACCATTTTCTCTGCAGAACAATTTCTACTCCAAGCTCCAAAAGACATTATCTTCTCAATTTTAGCTTGATTTGATGGATTAATGGAAATTAAAAAAAAAAAAAAAAACTACTTTATATCAAATTAAGTGGGTCTAACAAAAACTAATGGATCGAAATTATAAGAAAGCCCAACTTTTCGTTCTCCGTTACAATAACCTTGTCTTAATATTAGTTCCACTACTGGCCCAAAAATCAAGAAGTCAATTTATCATCTTTCGTGTGTGAGTGACCATATCAATTAGGCCTGGGCAAAAAACCCGTACCCGAGTACCCGAACCGGACCCGACCCGAAAAAACCGGTTCGGGGCGGGTACGGGTATGTGAGTTTTACACTGTTGGGTTCTATAATTGCTTACCCGTGGGTATCGGGTCGGGTTCGGGTTTTACCCGATACCCGATGGTGTAAACCGAAAACCCGATCCGCTTAAATGCCCTTAGGTTTAGTCTCTAACCCGATTAACCTTTTGACTATTTAGCTTCTTCCCTTTACTCGATTCTAGAACCCTAAACCCTAAACCCGATACCCGATGGTGTAAAAAATGTATTCCACAGTGTAAACGGGTAGAAAATACCCGAACCCGACCCGAAACAAGCAAGAACCGATATTTTCGGGTTTTTACCGGTTCTCAAATCTGATACCCGAACCGATCCGAACCCGACCATACCCGAACCGAAACCGAACCGATGTTTCGAGTTTACCCTATTGGGTCCTATATTACCATACCCGACATACCCGAACCCGATCGGGTTTTACCCGAACCCGACCCGCGGACCCGAATGCCCAGGCCTAATATCAATTATCAAAGATCCTTTCTCCTAAGCGAAGAGAGATCATCGAGTTTCTTCTGAGTAAAAGTGAAGGTGAGATTGGTTCTGATGAAAACCTGGAAGCAGAAGTGAAGCGATGATCAACAGAAGACGAATTCGAATTTCCCATTTTCGTCGGTTTTTTTTTTTGTTTCTCTCCTCTGTTCTCCGGCAGGTTTCGTCGTCTCTGTTTACATGGTTTTTTTAGTCTTCGTCGGAAGGAGCAGAAATATTTTGGTTTACAATGGTTTTAAAATTACAATTAATGTTTGGTTCGGTTTACATTGGTTTAGAGAAGAAGAAAACAAAAAAACAAAAAAAGTCACGCGATCAAAATAGGCATGATTCCTAAAGGTAAACCCCTTCAGGAATTGCTCTCACTCGCGCAACGCGCACTTGGTGCGAGTGGTTGCGAAATAGAGCCTTCTGATTGGCTTAAAACTTCTAAAAAAAGTGAAATAGTATACATGTTGCTAGCTTCTCTCATTTTGAGGCAAAAACACGAAGAACTCACAACTACATTAGATTCATGCTTTCAGATTTCGACTGGTGAGTGTTAAAATCTGTATACACCTTAAATTATTGCAAATATTCGTTTTTCTTATCGAATCTTGGTTTGAAAATTTTGGTGTTTTTATGTGTCTGTTTTGACTTTTTTGCCGAGAAAAATTACTAAAACTAGTAAAGCTAAGCTCGTTCAGTCGTTTGTCATGTTTAATTGAAGCAGTGAATTGTTCTTCTTCCTCTATTGGATGCCCTGGAAGTAGAAAACTTTTATCCAGAGACGTCTGTGGATAGCCATAGCTCCCCTACTTCTTCATCTGCTCGAAGCAAGCCTCATTTACATTATATATGAAAGGTACCACCTAAGCCTTTGCAGTCCAAAGAAAATGTCAATGTCACTTTGTTTGATGTTGTTTGCTCTGTGGATTGTTGACATTGGTTTATGCTTGACGTAGTCCAAGGGAAATCCGCAAAGGGGAGGAGATTGCATGGTATGCAGATTGGGAAACAATTGTGTGAAATGAGCATAATCAGTCAATAGCTTATGCCGCCTATGGTTAGTCTTAACAGTTTGACTAGTGTTCATGAGTTTCTGTAACCATCATAAATGTTGTTCTGCGGACTAGATTGAACTTTCCTGCATCTTGAGTGAAGACCTAAATTAAACTAGATGTCAAAGTCCAATCTGCCATATTGTTTCTTACAATTTCTGTTGTCCTTTCTTGCAGATCGTGTTTTCGTGCCTACGACGACTATACACAATGTCTATGATGTTGCTGCTCAGCATGTCGTTAATGGTGCTATGGTGCGGGGATCAATGGTATGGACTAAACACCTTTTATTCGCCCATCTAGTTTAGACTTTATTCTTAGATAGATAAAAAGATATTTGTATTATCCAAGCTTAGCTTACCTCGAGCTACAGTACAAATAACAGTTTGGATGAGCAATCATTTAGAAAATGAGATCTTTGCGCTGCCAAACTGTATCTAGTGCTTCTTCTAGTCTCTAGAACACTTTGAGTTAGCTTTTTTTTGCCAATTTGATTTTAATGTAGTGAGTGTTAATCCAACCACATGGACCATTTTCGCATACGGAGTGACAAGCGGTGGAAAAACTCACACTATGCATGTAAGATTCACTAATCATGATATTTCTTGCTTTTCATCTTATTATAATAAAACGTATTAGGTTACTACCTGGTACAATGTACTTCAATGTGTCATCCTGGACATGCTTATCTGTTAGATAGTCATTTACCTCTTCCTTTGTTACTGGATAAATCACTGAGTAGTTCAGGAGCAAAGTTTATCTCCTATAGCAGCCATAACGATTAAACAATAGAACTCGATGTTTGGATCCTATATTGTGTGGATCCTAAATGTCTCGTATCAGCAAAACCTTGTGATATCCCTGAGACACGTCCTTATAACAGCTTACACATCAACTCTAGAACCCTTGATGTCTCTTTCAAGCTGTAAAGAACAACCTGCATCACTTTTTCTTGTATGTATCCTCCACCAAAACGAATTTGGCTATTGCATTATTCAATTTGCAGTCTTTAGGGAAGGCCCTCTTCTTCTTTTAGATCATTCACTTGACTGACCTGCAAATTACTTCCCATGAGTAGACACTTATGTATTCTCCTCATTATGCAAACAAACAACTTTGAACTCATTAGTTGGTTTCTTCGAAATGCAGCTAGATTTCTCTGCATTTTCGACCTTTCTAGGACTTCTCTTTTCCAGCTTCTGACACTAACTTTAAAATGAGTTCTTTATCTAGTTAGATACACGACGCCTTCACATTCTTGAAGTAAGCACCCTTGAGACAAATCATGTATCACTTGCTTTTGTCTCCTTCAGTTTCTTCTTTAGAAAAAAAAAAACCCACTGAAATGAATTCAATAGCTTCATCTCAGACCATAAATTTGTGTATTCTCTGGAAAAACTCCAGAAACCTGCAACTCTTCTCTAGAAAACCTGCAATATGTTTCTGACAATCCTTACCAACACCCAGCTTCAAACCAAATCTGTAAGCAAACCTTTTACCATCAGATTGTAACCCTGCTTCAGCTGAATACCCATTGATAACCCTCCTTCTGTTCTTAAGTTTCTTTCTTCTTAGCACTCTGTACTTCAGTGAGTTATGCAACCTTTTAACTCTTTACTTTTAGCTGAACACCTGAGACAACATCCAACAAACTTAGTTCCACCAGGAGAAAAAAATATCCTTAGGATATGCATTGCTTTTCTTGTAGCAAGAATACTCCACCTGAAACCATAACCCTTGGATATACTATGTCTCTGTAAGCTTAGCTTCACCAATCTGAGTTAAAACCATTCTTTAATGTTGCTTTGAACAATTCACATGTTCTTCTGAATCAGAATCGTAAACATGGCTTAGAGAGCTTGAGAAAGTATGTCCGAAGTTGTGACACATCCTCTTTGTTTTTGTAGCCACTTGACCTGATCCACTTTAACCCGAAGAACCTGTTTTAACAACCTTTTCTCTTCTTTCTGGAACATTCTCTATAATCTGATAATGCCACAACTTGATTTCGGTTCGATGTACATGGTTTTAAAATTCCAATTGATTTCGGTTTGGTTTATATTGACGAAAACAAAAAAAAGAAAAGAGTCACGCGATGGAAATTTTGGAGAGAAGTGCGTCGATTGAAATAGGCATGATTTCGAAAGGGGTACACCCACAGATTTTGTCACACTCGCGCAACGCGCACGTTGTGCGAGTGGTTCTGAAATAGAGCCTTTTGATTGGCTGAAAAACTCTAAAAAAAGTGCAATAGTATACATGTTGCTAGCTCTTCTTTTATGTTATTATATATTTTTCTTCTTCTTCTCTCATTTTGAGGCAAAAACACGAAGAACTCACAACTTGATTAGATTCATGCTTTCAGATTTCGACTGGTGAGTCTAATCAGTCTTAATTATTGCTAATCGTCTTTGTTCTTATCGAATCTATAGTTCTGGTATGATTTTTTTGGTGATTTTTATGTGTCCATGTCTGTTTTGACTTTGTTGCTCAGAAATTTTACTAAAACTAGTAAAGCTAAGCTAGTTTGTCATGTTTAATTTGGAGCACTATATTGTTCTTCTTCCTCCATTGGATGTGGATTTTTTATAATTTGGAACCATGGAAGTAGAAATCTTCAGGAATCTTCTTGGCTTGATTCTGAGTTTTTGGAATGTGAAAGTTTAATCCTTTCCTACAATTCTTGTAATTAGAATGTTCAGAGATTAATTTGAATTGGATCCTTTTCTGCAGTTGTTAGTTTGTGATGTTTAATCCTTTTCTACAATTAAAAAAGATTTTTTTTTTTTTTTTTAATTCATTTTGATGTCTTTTAACTCTTTGGTGGGTGGAATACAAACAATGTAGAATTGTTATGTGTGTTGGGTTCTTAAACTGATACTTTACTTGTCCAATGCCTTTTTCTGTGTGACACATTCCGTTTTAGTGACTTTCTTAGTTTCTTTACATGTTGAACCACACCCAGTCCATCTACGATCAGGATTTCTGTTCCAAACTTGAATGATGGGCAAGTCATTGAGATCACAGTGCAGGAACGTGGCAGATTTGAAGGAGAAAATAGCAAACAAAATGGAGTTAAGTGGAAAAGCCGGGGTTTTAAAAGACAACAAGTCACTTGCACATTACAATGTTGGAGCAGGAGACATCCTAACACTTTCTTTGTGAGAATGGATGCAGGTAAATGCTATTTAATCTCTCAACTCTTGTTAAATAGAGAGATGTTTTAAAACTATATGTAACTGACTTAAGCTTGTTGCCTCACACATGCTTTGTATATGTTACTACCAATTTTATTAGGACCAAGTTTTAAAAAGTGATTTGCATGTTCTTTACACAAGTGGTAAGTTTTCCTGCTCTTACACATTTTCATCTTAAAAACCATTAGTAGAAGTTGACCTTTGGTTCTAGTAGAGAAAATGATTGTATAGCTTCTTTAGCAACAGGAACACACACCAAAGGTGTGGCTCTAGGCAGAGATGATCCAGTCCCTTCATTCATCTCTACACTTCCTTTTACTTTCAGCTCAAAACACTGTATTATCGCGGCTACAACGACTGGAACGAATCTAAACACCATTTTCTCTCCTGGACAACTTCTTCTCCCAGCTCCAAAAGACATCATCTTTTCACTCATGACCTTCCATTCAATCCCTTCAAATCTCTCAGGCCTAAACTCCAATGGATCTTCCCATTGATTTGAGTCTCTCCCAATCCCCCAAACGTTCACTATCACTCTTGTTTTAGCCGGAATTCTAAATCCAGCCACTGCGCATTCTTCATCCGATTCTCTCACGAATATTGGTCCTCCAGGGTGTAACCTCATTGTCTCCTTTACCACTGCTTGGATGTAACTAAGATTACACAAATCTGATTCTTCAACTACTCTCTTGTTTCCCACCACTTGCTCTATCTCTTGTTGCGCTTTCTTCATGATCTCTGGATGGTTTATCAGCTCCGCTAGAGCCCATTCTACTGTTATGGCAGATGTATCTGTTCCACCCCCATAAATATTCTGTATAACAATGAATTAGACTCTTTTGAGGCATTATGAATTTTTTTTATATCAAAGCATGAATGTTGCGTGTGAGACTTTAGAAGACAATTACCATGATGAAGGCCTTGATGTTTTCTCTAGTCAGCTTCACCTCAGCGTTTTTGTCTTCATATATGTCAAGCAAAATGTCTAGCATGTTCCTTGCTCCTGTATCCTTCTTATTCCTAGACTCATGCTCTTTCATTATTCTTTCTATGATAACATCATATTTGTCTCGAACATTCTTGAGCCTCTTCTTGAGTCCTTGCAAGTCAAGCCTTCTTAAGAACCAAAACGTTTCAGAAACGTTGAAAAACCCCGCTAATTCATTCAACTCCACCACCATTTTGATAACTTCCTCTGTTTTGCCGTCACCTTCACTATCCGATTGCATTTCTCTGAACATCATTCTCGTTATGATGTTGCTTGTCAATTCCTTTAGCTGTTCACCGAGATTAACACTCTCTTCTGCTTCTGCTTTCTTCAAAACGCGTATCAGAAGCTTCCTTAACTCCTCGCTTCTCACTGAAACAAATCTTTCTAAAGCTCTGCTGCTAAAGAGCTCCACCATACAAATTCTCTTCATGAACTTCCAGCGAAGCCCGTAAGGCGCTGAGAAGAAATCCGCAGAGCCATAAGTAAGGTAGTCAACGTTTTGCATTGTGGGACGGTTCAGGAAGTTGAGCTCATTGGATTTGAGAATCTCATTCGCCATCTCGGCCGATGAGACAATAAGATTAGGAATGGAGCCAATGAAGAGATACATCAAGGGTCCGTAGCGGATTGAGAGTTTGTGAAGTGCTTGGTGAGCTATGGGACCAAGGAGGTGAATGTGACCGATGATCGGTAAAGCTGTTGGGCTTGGTGGGAGCGGTAGTTTGTTGCGTAATCTGTTAGTAATGGCTTGGATCAAGACTGTGATTCCAAGGCATAAAGGAATGATTATGAAGAAGTATTGTATATCCACCATTCTCGTTTATGTTTTGTGTATGAGAGTGATATTAAGCTGATTTTATAGGATAGGTACCACCAAGTTATGGTATCAAATGTTAATCCCAACTTGAAGATTCTTTCTTTTCTCATGTTGTCTTTGTTCTGTTTTTGTCTCTTTCGTAAGGGTATAATCTCTGTTTTTGATCCTGTTTTCATGTTTAATTATGTCCTGTCTATTTATAAACAAATAAGAATTTACTTGACCGTTGTCAAGCGTTCTTTATCAGTTGACAAAAGAAAATGTTTTCATTGTATAGGCTTACACGCCAAGTGTCAGTATAAGGTGTAGTTAGATTGGTAATCAAGGTGGGTACTTACTGATTGATTGTAAGATTTAGAGCTCATGAAAGTAATATAAAATTATATTCGTGTGATTTATACAAGACTGAAACATTTTATATTTACATCAATAGTCGTAAGCTTATGAAAACAGAACATAAAACAGAGCAGGAGAATAACAGAGCATAAAACAGAGCACAGTATATATGATTCCAAATTCCTAATGATGCTTATCTGCAGAAAATTCACTTAGTTTGGTGTCCAAATGGAGCAAAATGTAACACATAAGTGAGCTTCCTCAAATAAAGTCCCATTTGAAAACCGCAACACAGGAGTTTCCTTAATAAACGGTTAATTTCTTGGTTATCAGGAGATGGAGAATCTTCGTATCCTTTGTCGTCGATTTCATTGCTATTAGATCTCGAAGCCGTTCGTTCCCCGCTTCTTCGTACGGTGGTTCTTATCTCTCTCCGAAACCCTAAGAATCTTTGGCGTTTCCGATTTATATATGATTTTAATCAACCTATTTCACTAGATTTGATGATAGTTTGTTGCGGCGATTGTGTAAACCAATAATTCATAGGTTTGAATGTTTTTCGTTTTGTAAGGAAAAAAATGATGACGCAGAATGATTTGAAATCGGAGCAGCAGAAAATAGAAGCAGCCTATGCACTGTTTCCTCTAACACCTCTCAAGTTCGCACACCTTCCTTCAGCGACACCAATCACGCGCAAGGAGGTTGATTTGATTAAGCTCACAGCGCAGTTTGTGGTTGTCTATGGGAATTATTTTCTGAGCTTGGGCCCCATTTTGGGTTTCTGAACATGTCAACCGATGGTATGGGCAAGCTATATTTTCACTCCAGGCTTGTTGAAGGGTATTCAAGAGTCTTATTGGGTTCCCAAAGGCTGAGGAATTATGGTACTAGAACGGAAACCATTCTTGAGGGTTTTTTCAATCTTGTTCGTCAAGTTCTTGGAAAAGAGGAGGATGAAAACGGAGTGGACATGGCTATGATTGATTTTCATGCTTTTCAGTTTTTTGTTAACATGGAGTATAACATCTTGCCACCATCTCCAGTGGAACCTGATGCTCCAGTTACTACTCATGATGCAGAACCTATCAGTTTCCCATTACTTCCTCAAGGGATCACGCACAAGGAGCTTGTACGTATTAAGCTCACAGCGCAGTTTGTGGCTGTTTATGGGATGCGTTTTGGGCAGGGTTTGCAGAATAGTGTGTCTATGCAACCTGAACTTGAACCCCATTTTCAGTTTATGAAGTCAAGTGATAGCAGGCACAGTTTTTACTCTCAGGTTACGGTTGTGTATATGAGAGTGTTGCAGCCTTCCAAAACGCTGGATGGGAGATTTTTACGTTTTTCCACAGCTCTGGTGGAGAAGTGTACTAGTATTGAAACCCTCCTTGATGGTTTTTACAAGCTTCTCCATGAAGTTCTTAAAAAGGACAAGGAGCAGGGACCGGAGATGGCTATGGTTGATGTGCATGCTATTCAGTATTTTGCTAATGTGGAGATGACCCACATGTCACCACAACTGCCTGGATACCTTTCAGTTCTGAAGAACCCACAGCCTCAAATGCAGCCTTCACCTGAGGAACCAGAGCCAAACAGACAAAGGTTAGAACTTGTTCCAGAAGACCAGTTTCTTCCGACTCTCTACCTTGTGTTGTTGTTTTTTTTGTTTTCCTTTCGTTTGACTTAACTTGACTTGTTGTATCTAATTAGCAATCATACATTTTCAGGGTTCCTCTGCGATCAGGGTTTCTATTCCAAGCTTGGATGATGAGCAAGTCATTGAGATCACAGTGCAGTCGTTGTCCGAAAACGTGGCAAGTTTGAAGGAGAAAGTGGCAAACAAACTCAAGTTCAGTGGAAAAGCCGGGCTTTTAAAGGACGACGACAAGTCACTTGCACATTACAATGTTCGAACAGGAGACACCCTAACACTGTCTTTGTAAAAACGGATGCAGGTAAATGCTTTTCAGTCTCTCAACTCTAGTTATTCTCTGTCTCTCAACTCTTGTTTATTTTTCAGTCTCTCAACTCTTGTTATGTTTAGAGGATGTTTTTAAAACGATATGTAACTGACTTAGTTTATTCAATTATAAAGTACAATTGCGGTAATCGAATTAAATATGAAAATGCACCAGTGTATACGATTTCACACAGTAGAAAAATAGAAGAAGAGAAGAGAGGATAGAATTAAAAAGGAGATTCAAACAAATGTTTTTTGGCAAAAACTAACAAACTTTGCTTCAACCAAGAAAAGATAAATAAATTAGCTCTGCTTGCTAATTTCCACCCAACATGTATGTTTCTCTATTTAGCCTGTAAATAGCTGAAAAGTATTCTTTGGTGAGATTGGGGTCAGCTTTCATTGATTTCTTATGGTATCAAATGTTAATCCCAACTTGAAAATTCTTTCTTTTCTCATGTTGTCTTTGTTCTGTTTTTGTCTCTTTTGTGAGGGTATAATCTCTGTTTTTGATTCTATTTTCATTTTTATTTATGTCCTGTCTGTTTATAAACAAATAAAAATTTAAGAATTTACTTGACCGTTGTTAAGCTTTCATTATCAGTTGACAAAAGAAAAAAAAAAAAAATTCATTGTCTAGGCTTACACGCCATTTGCAGCTGTAGTTAGATTAGTAATCAAGGTGGGTAATTACTAACTACTGACTGTAAGATTTAGAGCTCATGGAAGTAACTGAAACATTTTTTCTTTTCATCAATAGTAGTAAGCTTATGAAAGCAGAACATAAAACAGAGCATAAGACAGAGCACAGTATAAATGATTCCAAATTCCTAATGATGTTTCTGTGCATAATTTCACTTAGTTTTGTATCCAAACGGATCAAAACATAATTCAGGAGAACACATAAGTGAGCTTCCCCCAGCAGTCCCTGAAGCCGAAAAGCCGGTAGGTAACTTGATCTTGATTTTGTCTTCATCTCCCTTCACCGTCCAGTTAAAACACTGCACGAGTGATCCGATTGTGAGACTCAACACAAGAGAAGCGTGAGAAGCTCCAAGACATCCTCGCCTTCCGCTCCCGAACGCAAGATAATTCACATCTTGACCTTTTAATTCCAACATATATTGCTGGTAATAACCCATCTTTCTCTCTGTATCTTGTTCCACCACAAGAAACCTCTCAGGTATAAACTTGTCAGGGTCTTTGTATGTGGTCGGATCGCGCATTATCCCGTAAGCATTGATGAAGATCTTTGTACCGGATTTTACATCGTACCCGTTGATCTTCATGTCTGTGTTGCTTTCTCTGCGTAGTAATGGTCCTACTGGATGAAGTCTCAATGTCTCCTTGATAGCTGCTTGTAGGTAAGGAAGCTTCTGCAAGTCTAATTCTTTGATTAAACGATTCGATGTTCCTACAACCGATTTGATCTCGTCTCTGATCTTCGCGAAGATATCCTGATGGTTGATTAGCTCTGTCATTGTCCACTGTAAAGCTGCAGAAGTTGTATCTAAGCTGGCCATGAACAACTCCTGCAAACGAGGTACCAAATATTCTTAGTAAGGCTAATCTAACGAAGTTAAAGAAAAGTAATGAAACTAGCTTACAAGGATGAAGAACTTGATCTGATTCATCGTCAATTTGAGTTCGGCTTTTGGGTCATTATACGTGTCCAACAAGATATCGACGATATCTTTATCTTTCTCTTCTTCTTCATTGGTCTTATCGTTTTCATATTCCTTCAGTATCTTCTCAACCAACTCATCGTACTGCCAAATGGAGGATCTAAGCTTCTTGCCATTACCAAACAAATCCAGATCCCGCAATGGTCCAAATAGCTCCATGAATCCAAACCTTGTGGCGCAAGCCATAATATCGCTCACTATCTTCCTTATCTCTACGGGAATATCCGAGTTTTGGCGGCACCTTTTCCCCATAACCATCTTTGATAAGATCTTCGTGGTCAAAGCGGTGAACTCCAAACCGAGATCGCACGCCTCTCCATTACTCGATCTCTCAACGAGCGAGGTCAGTAAAGCTAACGTTTCCTCTTCTCTTATATCGACAAATCGATCAAGCTGATAACCTGCGAATAGCTTAGTCATGCATAGCTTCTTCATGAACCTCCAGTAAGGTCCATAAGGTGCATTAAAGAACTCTGCTCCTTTATAAACATTGAACTGTCTCGGACCAAACACAAACTTGGAAGCGAAATCAGGGTCGTGAGTCTTGAGGATTTGCTTAGCTGTGTCGGAATCTGAGACAACGAGGACATGTAGTGATCCGATGCGTATGGTCATGAGAGGACCGTAAGTGTGAGCCAAGGATTGAAGAGAACGAGGGAGGCTAGACCGGAGGAGATGCATATGACCGAGAATGGGAAGTCCTAGGGGACCTGGAGGAAGACCGCTGCGGCTTGAGGAGCTGAAGAGTCTATGAAGAAGGAAGATGGTAATAAATGTGAAGAAGAGATAGGAACAAGATGTGTAATTCATATCCAAATTCATTGTAAACGTATTTGATTATTGTGATTGGGATCAAACAAGTATAAGATGTTAGTATATAACAAAAGCTTAATTGTGTTGTTTGAAAATTTTAGAAAAACTTGTCTTGTTGCCATGAAGGATCTAAAAATACATGATGCTTTGATGATAATGACCTTGACTCAAAAATTGTTAAATTATACATTTTTACTGATTGGACTGAAATTTAACCCGCGGTATACCGCGGGATGATTTAATTTTAAAGTTAGTATAAAAATATTTTGTAAATTGTATCTCCTTATAACATATTTATTTATATTATAGTTTAAAATTGTTATTAAGTAACGGTATATCACGAGTTTACGAGACAATTATTAATAAACTGAGGATTTAATCCGTATTAAAGCGGTATATAAATATTGATTCAAATTCGTCCGCCATATAAATCCTTTCCGAAATATAACCCGTTCCATAATTTCTTAACCCGTCCCGTGATTTGTTTTTATTTTAAAATTTAATGATTATTTATTATATATAAAAGTTTACAAATCATATCATTCTCTAAGACATTTATATGTTAATAAACTAAAGATTTAATATGTATTAAAGCGGCATGTTAATGATATTTTAAAATTTTATAAATATTGTTATTAAGTAACATTATACCTAGGGACAATTTTTGGTTTTATACAATCTTTTCTAAATGAGACTGATTTAATATGTCTAATATTTGTGGTATTACAAAAAAAAAGATTTAATCCGTATTGAAGCGGCGAATTAATGATATTTTAATCTTTTTATTATTGTTGATTCAAAAACCTGTCCCGCCAAACCCGTCCGGCCAAAAAACTCATTTATTTTATTAATGTTCTTATTTATGATATGATTCTGAATCATTGTCTAAATATTTTAATCGATGTAGAACGTTGAACACACATTTTCGTCAATTGGATAATATATGTCCGTTTTTAAAATTTCGAATCACAGTATATGCAGAAAAAAATTAATTTAGTTTTTTACTTTATGTATTATATGATGATTCAAAATAGTTAAAAACAAATCAAACAAAGATGATAGGAGAATCTTCTAAATATCTAAATTATTAAATATGGAATATCCGGTGTATGAATTGGGTTAAATATAACCTGACCCAACAAGTGTTTTAGTGTCACTTACTAAAACACTCTGTTAGATTTTATTGGAAAAATCATATTATAAAACAACAAGCTAATGATAATAATATTTTTTTTTATAAATATAATTTTATTTTATTTATGTAAAAATCGAATAATATAATTTATAAGCAAAAGTTTCTGAAACTCTGAAAGGAGGAATCCGTAACCTACATTGGCGGGGAACACGGAAAAATTGGCGCCGAGATAATCCTCTGTGAAGCATTTTAGTCGCCGACTCCAATCGATAGTGCTTACCAACGACGGGTGTATCGATCTATTAGGGTTCAGAGATGGGTAGGAAAAAGAAATCTAGGGCTTCGACAGCCGAAGAAGATAAAATTGAGATGGACAATGATGGGCGATCTTCTGAGAAAAGTCTTTACAAGGTATTTTCGGATTTGCTACTTAACCTGATCCTATCCGCAATGCCTGCGTTTACGTTTCTTGGGAAGTTTCGTACTTTGATAAATTTCATGTCTTAATCCTGGTTAATGGCGTTTTTGATGTCTGAATTTAAGTAGATTTGGAACACTACTTGTTTACTAAATTTAAATCATACGTCTTATTTGATTAGGATTTTGGTATCAGAATGATTTGATTAGCCAAAAGAGTACAAGCTCTTAACTGATCTCTCTCTCTTGAACTGAAGGTTCTTGGAGTTGAAAGAAGAGCTACTCCACAGGAAATAAGAAAAGCCTACCATAAGTTGGCATTGCGGCTTCATCCAGATAAAAATCAGGATGATAAGGTTAAACAACACTCTTTTCTTGAGATTTTTTTGGATTCATTTACTTGAAAATTTTACTCTTGTTTTGTTACAGGAAGCTAAAGAGAAATTCCAGCAGCTGCAAAAAGTTATATCAATTCTTGGGGATGAAGAGAAAAGGGCAGTTTATGATCAAACTGGCTCTGTTGATGATTCTGTGAGTCTCTGTTTCTTCTTCTTCAGTTTGATCGAGAAAATAAAGCATTTAACTTCTGTATTAGTATTTTGTGATTTTCTTAAACCTGGTTATTTTCCATGCTCGTTAGGATCTTTCTGGAGATGCGTTTGAGAATTTGCGGGAGTTCTTCCAGGCCATGTACAAGAAGGTAGCAGCAAGTCATACCTTTTACCCATCTGCTTCTGCTGCTGCTTACACTAACTTCTTTTTTATGTCGCTGCTTATATAGGTCACTGATGCAGATATTGAAGAGTTTGAGGCAAACTACAGGGGATCTGAGTCAGAGAAGAAAGACTTACTTGAGCTGTTCACCAAGTTCAAGGGTAAAATGAACAGGTAATTCATCATCCTTTGTTTTCCATATTCTTGAGGTTGTGAGTTGATTATTTTATATTTCCTTCCCAGGCTATTCTGCTCAATGCTTTGCTCGGACCCGAACCTTGATTCACACCGTTTCAAAGACATTCTTGATGAGGCCATTGCAGCAGGTAATGTATCTTTCTGTAACTAGTATATATGACTTGCAAGATTATCTACTCATATAAGGAAACCTTGACGTTACAAGATGAGCTTTCCTCTTATTTGTTCATTGATGAATTTTGATTACGCATGATGTTTTGCCTTCTCCAGTTAGAGGATGAGTGTAAAATGTACCATATCCCTTGAGCTGTGTGTTTGATATTTCAGTATCCATCTAAATTTGCATCCTAATTCTCTGATTCCAGTATGGTTGCTGATTATTAAGTGTGTTGTGTAATACAACTGATTTCCTTTTCAGGAGAAGTGAAGTCAAGCAAGGCATATGAGAAATGGGCAAAGAATATTTCAGAAACGAAACCGCCCACCAGTCCATTGATGAAGAGGAAGAGGAAGAAGTAAAAATCTCTGCCTTCGTTTCAAATTAGTTCCACCAATCAAACTTAACCTTGTTGTGACCACCTTGCTTCAATTTGTATATACTGTACTTGTAGTTCAGCAAAGGATTCAGAGACAGATCTTTGCTTGATGATTGCGAAACGACAAGAGGAGAGGAAAGGGAAGGTGGATTCAATGTTTTCATCACTCATCTCCAGGTATGGTGGTAATGCGGAAGCAGAGCCTACTGAAGAAGAATTTGAAGCTGCCCAGAGAAGGATTGAAAGGAGAAGACCATCCAAGAAGTCTAGAGGAAAGTAAAGGTCATAAAGCAGAGTTGTCTTCCAGTAGCATTTGTGATGGAACAAGAATGTTTATTTTGTTTCAAAATTGCATCAATTTCAAAAATCCGTAAATATTTGGATTATTGCTTTATAAATTGAGGAATTATCTTGTTAATTTTGATGGTCTCCATAAAAAATGAAGTAGAACTATTATTTACAGGATTTATCTAAAGTCTCTTATCGTGAAAAAACAAAAGCAGGAGAATGAATTAATAAGATAGATGGACAAGACTGAACCCAAACGGTAAAATAGAAAAACTCTTTTTGCTAATCCAAAATTTCTCAAAGAAAACATTTCTTTGACGAACTATCTTCTTCTCCACGAAACGATTAGAATTTATCTTTTGTCTGAAGTGATGGGTTGTTGTTCATCAGATTGCTTCGTCTACTTCGTCCTCTCCGTTGCTTTAGCTTTCATGGCCATCTCAAGCACTCTACGTTCACCTCCAGATTCCGAACCCACCATACCCATTGCTTCTTCTTCCTCTTCGTCTTCTCTCTCTTTAAACGCCTCAAACGCTCTACGCCAATCCAATTTCAAAGCAATCGCCACCCTTCTCCACATCTCCCCTGAGATCTTCCTCTCTTCTTCTCCTAACACAACCCTCTTTGCCATCGAAGATGCTTCCTTCTTCAACACGTCATCTCTTCATCCTTTGTTTCTCAAGCAGCTTCTTCAGTATCACACACTCCCTCATATGCTTCCGATGAACGACCTTCTTAAGAAGCCTCAAGGAACCTGTCTCTCAACGCTTCTCCACCACAAGAGTGTTCAAATCTCCACCGTAGATCAAGAATCAAGAACAGCAGAAGTGAATCATGTCCGTATCTCACATCCCGACATGTTTCTTGGAGATTCATTGGTCATTCACGGAGTTCTTGGACCATTCTCTCCTCTGCAACCTCACAGTGATCATCTTCTCCAGACATCTTTATGTCAATCTGATACAAGAAACAAAACCAGTGACAACGACGAAGTTCCGGTTAACATAGACTGGATTCGGATTGTTCAGCTCCTAAGTTCAAATGGGTTTGTGCCATTTGCAATTGGACTGCACTCTGTTCTCAATAGGATTGTGAACGATCATCATCACAAGAACCTGACCGGTGTAACGATTCTAGCCACACCGAATCTGGTCTCGTTGTCATCTGCTTCTCCGTTTCTGTATGAAGTTGTGAGACATCACATTCTTGCTCAACGGCTAACAAACAAAGATTTTGCATCAATGCCTGATAAAGCCTCAGTGAAGACATTGGATCCTTACCAAGATCTGACAATCACCAGAAGAAATGTCAATTCGTCATCTGGAGATTTCATGATTTCTGGAGTTGAGATTGTAGATCCAGATATGTTCTCTTCTTCAGAATTTGTAATTCATGGAATATCACACACTCTAGAGATCCCACATGTTTAACCATTTTCTTCTTTCCTTTGTAGCTAGCTACACACATTCATGTGATTTTTAATGCATGTAAACACATTCATTCGTTTTTTGTTTGTTAATAAGGAAATATTGTTTTTAGTAATATATAAATGTTATATTTTTAGATTAAAAAAAAAAAAATGTTATATTTTTATAATTTACACTTTTTCAAATTTAAACCAATACATACTTCAGTAAAATAATACTAATTAAATCCTAGTTCTACTTCTAACATTGTATACAAAGGCAGGCCCGGCCCATAAAGCAGGTGAAGCATGTGCTTTAGGCCACACTTTATATTCTAAAAATATGGGCTATAATACAAAGCTTTTTCGTTAGCTAAGATGGTTACGTAGTCCTTTGGACTTGTCTTAATCCTGAGTTCGAACCCCCAAATGAGCATAATTTTTTTTTTTTTTTTTTTACATTCTATGAATTACCTAATATTATATATTTAAGAAGGGTCATATATGAAAATATGCTTTAGGCCTCTACTATCCTAGGACCGGCCCTTGTACAAAGGTAATCATTCAATTTCCCATATTTCTTTCTATTTATTGTTTTTTTTATACCATTGTTCATTCGTGTCATTTTTTGTATGTCTCGTGGATAACACAAACTTTTGGGATCCAAAAATATTAATTTGGAAATACATAAATTTAACGTATATAAAATAAGGAACCGCGGCCAAAAAATGTGGTAAAACGTCTTCTTGGGAAGATGACGACCTGTAGGTGTAACCGATTCATCCTATATTGATTAAACTAATCACCGACCGATCCAGAGAGATAGAAAAAGACGTAATCCTCTTTTAAACCCGATCGAGTCACACTCACAAAAACAATAACTGTTGTTATTCCCTTAAAATCCTCCCATTCTTCTCTTAATTCTCTGCTCTTTTCTTGATTCCGACTCAAATCACCAAACTTGGATCTCGCACCGGTTTCTTTGTTTCAGGTAACATTCATTGCATCATCATCACTCACAGATTTCTCCAATTTTCATTTATGCATCATCATTGTTAGCTTCATCAATCTCATTAGAATCCGATCAACAGAGAGAGACAGAGTCTTTTTTGTGTGTGTGTTGAATTAAGTAATGGTAAGACGTGCTCATATGTTGTTAATGCCCCCATGTGTCGTGGTTAGCGGCCAAAAAAAAAAAAACTTGTATGCAACTTGAGTTAATTATTAATACTAGCTAGTATTTTAATGAGTATAGTAGTATATGAATAGTGGGATCTCATGAATGAATGAAATGTTTGTTTGTCTGTGAGGAAACATCTGTTGCTGTCACGAGTTAAAACCAAGCTAATAATGTCCGTAAAGTGTGAGCAACCTTGTGCTCTCATGTTCTCTTGCTTGCTTCTCAAGATTATTATCATCATGATGAATATCTCAGCCTTCTTATCTTATCCGACTTTTCTTTTTTTTGACTAAGACAATAAAGTTTCTTGCTTTCTTCTGCAGAATGTGATTTTGAGAATCTAGTTCAACTTTATTGTTAGTCTCTGCAGAGATTTTTCCAGGTGGTTATTGTGGATTAGAAGGCGATGAAGAGATTCGAGAGGCCAAGAACTTCGACTCACTCGCAGCCAAGAACCAGTACCAATTCAGCGAAGAAAGATCAGAAACCGCGTAGTAGTAGTAAAGGGAATGGTTTGAAACCGTTGAATGCGGCTCAGCTGGTTTCCAGAGTTTTAGATGCGACTGCTTCTGAGCCTTCATCAATAGCTGTAACTGATTCAACTACTGGATCAGAGTCTTCTGAAGTCTATGACAATGTGAATGTGCATTACATGGATGATGCTAATGATAAATCAAGAAATGATGGGAATCTGGTGGATTGTCAAGAAGAAGGTAATGGTGATGAATCAGACACTGAAACAAACAATGATTCTGTGTTTTCTTCTCAAGGTGATTTGTTTTCCCATGAAGATAAGAAATCAGAAAGGCCATCAATGGTTTCCAAGAGCAAAAGCTCTCAGGATACACCCTTTACATCTAAAGGACGTACCAACATTGGTGATTCGGTTAGATCTCGATCCAATACCTTCCACGGCTCTGCTAGAAAGACCGTAAGATCAAGTAAAAGTCAGGCAAAAGCTTTGTCTGAATTCTCATCTTATAGAAGCTCTGAAAACCACAGGGCTCTCTCTCCTGCTTCACCAGTTGATTCCACGTCTTTTGAGGAGGCGAAAGAAGATGATGAGTTTGAAGATGCCTTGAATAGCGTTAATAACACTGAAAGTGACAATGAAACACTTGTGTACAAGGAGAACAAAAGGAGTGAAGTGGAGAAAGTCTTAGCTCAAAAGATTGAGACCATGGAAACTCGAATCGAGAAACTTGAAGAAGAGCTGAGAGAAGTTGCTGCTCTTGAGATGTCACTATACTCTGTATTTCCAGAACATGAGAGCTCATCACACAAGCTGCACAAACCTGCAAGAGACCTTTCTAGACTCTATGCACTTGCTAGAAAAAATCAGAGTGAAAACAAGTTAATCTCAGTAACCAAAAACATTGTGTCTGGTCTGTCCTTGTTGCTAAAATCCTCTGGAAGTGATGTATCGAGGTAATAAAAATAGATGTTTCTTCTTCTTGTACATATGTTCCCATAGGTTCTGGTTAACCTTATTGTTTTGCTTGTCTTTTCTATGGCTCAGGTTAACTTACTGGTTGTCCAACACTGTCATGTTGCGAGAGATCATTTCACAGGAATTTGGTGGCACAAATCTAAAAGGACTAAATTCTCTTGAAGAAGATTGGACCAATGTGAGAACTCTGATAGTGGCATTAAGAAGAGTTGAATCATGTTTATTTACCCAAGCAGTTGAATCTATATGGTCACAGGTAAAAACAAAAAAAAGCCATGGATCATCCTTTCTCAAAAGTAAGCTGCAGATGTTAAATAGCTTTTGCTTCCCACTCCCTCTGTTAGGTAATGATGGTTCATATGAGACCTCAAGGAGTAGATTCGACGATGGGTGAAATGATCGGTAATTTTTCAGAACCAGCAACATGTGACCGGTTACAAGAGAGCTTTTCTGTTAACCTATGGAAAAAGGCTTTTGAGGAGGCTCTTCAGCTGCTCTGTCCTGTTCAAGCAACAAGGCGTCAATGTGGTTGTTTGCATGTATTGATCAGAATGGTACACTCTTTTTTCCTTCCTTTCTTCCAGTGGAATGTTGGTTTCTCTTCTGGACTGAAATGACATGTTCTGTCTAACTAGGTAATGGAGCAATGCATTGTAAGACTTGATGTGGCTATGTTCAATGCTATTCTCCGTGAGTGGGCTCATCAGATACCGACAGACTCTGCCTCTGATCCCATTGCTGACTCAAGAGTTCTGCCAATTCCAGCAGGGGTTTTGAGCTTTGAATCTGGGGTGAAACTAAAAAACACGGTATTCACGTAGAACATTTTAAATCGTACATGTCCCTTTTTCCCAGCTTACTACTTTGGTTTCAAACTTTTCATCTGAAGAAAATTTGTAGAACTTTCCAGCTTGAAACTCACGAGTTATGTATGCTAATACAAAACGTTTCTACAGATTGGCTACTGGTCGAGATTGCTGACAGACATCTTTGAGCTCGATGTTGATCATTCTTCGGAAAAGGAGCAACAAATGCAAAGAGGAGATGAGACATTTAAACCTTTCCATTTGCTCAATGAACTGAGTGATCTCCTTATGCTTCCAAAAGAAATGCTTGTGGATAGTTCCACCAGAGATGAGGTATGTATGCTTCATGCTTTAGTACTGCTTATTAACGCTGCGAGCCACAATTTTTATTAGTCGCTTCGTTTTTTCATCTAGCTTCCAGCTTATATTTTGATTGCGTTTCGCAGGTCTGCCCATCAATTGGCCTGAGTTTGATAAAAAGGATGTTATGCAATTTCACCCCGGATGAATTTTGCCCGTACCCTGTTCCAGGAACTGTTCTTGAGGAACTCAATGCTCAGGTTGGTCTACTTTTTTCAGCCCTTCAGTGACTAGATACAAATAGAAGTTCTCTTGCTACAAGCCTAAAACTATGTTGTTTCTGTGTTTCCAGAGCATACTTGAGAGTAGAAGCTCATCTGGAGATGCAACTAGATGCTTTCCTCGGCAAGTCAATCCGGTTTCATATTATCTCCCTTCTTGTAGCCACTTGACAGACATTGTTGCAGAGTTCAGTGTCACACTTAAGCTTTCTATGACACAAAAAAAAGGATACAGCCGCAACGAGGAGGTAGAAACATCAAGATCTCCTCCATACTACAACATCCTTAAAGGGGCTGAAGAAAAGGATACCATCAATTTTTCTCAGACTAACGAAAGATACAGACTCCTTGGAGCCTAAACCTGGCTTAAATGACCAGAAAGCGCCTGCAGAAATTCAAAGCTCATTGGGAAGTACACTCAAAATCCAATTCTTATTATCCTTGAACATCAAATGACCAATGTACATTAATACATACTCGTATGTTACACAAACAAAACATACCATCTTGCTCTTGGACCGTTTCAATAAAAGCTTCATTTTTGAGTAAAAACCAGAGCTAAGAAATGGTCTCTCTTGGTTAATTATTTATGCGGAAACTGGAAGCTTCTCAGCAGAAGCTGAGACAGAAGAACTAATACCCTCAAGCGCTTTAATAACTTGAACCAATGAAGGTCGTTTCTCTGCAGCAACGGCGGTACAATCTAGAGCAACATCTAAGGTCTTTAGCATCTCTGATTGGCAAGAATCGGACAAGATCTTTTGGTCAAGAACTTGCCCAGCTCCATCTGTCAGGTTTATCTTCCTCCTGACCTGCTTCACTATGTCAAGGGACTCCCTAGATGCGCCTTCTTCCACTTCCTCTGCTCTTTGCCCCGTTACAAGTTCTAGTAGTACAACACCAAAAACTGTAAACATCCATATCTTCTGTTGCTTTCTTGCTGTAATTGTTTTCTGAATCACATCAAGAAAGAAATCACTAAAGGTTTCAGAACACCATACCAGAAAAATTCAGTCGTCCTAGACATTTACCTGGTGCAGTATAGCAGGAGTTGGAGTTTGCATGTACCAGAGACTGAAAAGCAGTTTCTCCAACGATATGGTCAAGAGCAAAATCAGAGAGCTTGGGTTCGAAATCTTTGTCCAAGAGAATGTTTGCTGACTTTAGGTTCCTATGGAGTAAGTGTGGCACATAATCTTTGCTAATGTATGCCAATGCTTGAGCAACACCTAGCGCTATCTTCAATCTAATGCTCCACGGAAGTCGGTCGCCAGGTCTCGATAGTATATCATGTAAGCTACCATTTTGTGTGAACTCATAGATCAAGAAGATCAATTCATCAGTGAAACAAAACCCAAGAATTCGAGTAATGTTCTTATGCCGTATCTTTGCTATGGTTCTCACTTGAGCTTTCAGAGCTTTCGAGGATATATTCTTAGAGTTCACAAGCTTCTTCACAGCTATTAACTCCCCACTTGATAAACTGAGAACGTATACTTCACTCCCGGAAGGACATTCATTCACCACTTTCATCAACTCATGCTCGGTTAACTTGAGGGGATAATAAAACTCTGAGCGCCAAGTACTCTTAAATTGCACTTTCTTTCGAGAATACCGATATAACACCGCGAGTAAAGTGGCAATAGCAAGTGCTAAACATATCAAAGCTAGCACCAACGCTTTACCACCTTTTTTATGGAAGCTAGACCGATCAGAGGAGCAAAAATTGGGTAAACCGGGTCCACAAAGCTCGGGATTTCCTTGCAGAAAGGAAGCTGGTAACCCGGAAACCAGAGAGTGAGGTACCTCACCTGATAATCTATTGAATGACACGTTGAAGAGAGCAAGCTTCAGGTTCTGTAAGTCTGGAGGAATCAAACCAGTAAGACTATTATCAGATAGATCAAGATAAGTCAGAACATGTAAATCAGCAAGTGATGGCGGGACTTCTCCAGTAAATGCATTGCCTGCTAGAGACAAAGAGACAAGCTTCTTGCAATTCTTCAGTTCTGGGATCTTCCCTAAGAGCCTATTGTGAGAGATGTTTACAATACTAAGAACAGGTGAGTCACAAAAATTCGGCGGTAACTCCCCACCAAACCCGTTTTCTGAAGCAGAAAACTTGTACAAGCTCTTAACCAGTCCAAGACCATGTGGGATTTCACCAGAAAAAGAATTGTTGTCTATCTCAACTTGCTCCAATGCAGAAGCCAAAGACACAGAATCAGGCACTTGACCTGTGAACCGATTATTATCCGCTCTAATAATCTTAATCTTGGGTAATTTCCATAACACAACTGGAAACTCACCAGAGAATCCATTGTTCTGCACTTGAAACATCTCCAGACTAAGGCATTCACCAATGGAGTTAGGCAATGACCCTTCAAAGAAATTCGAATGCAGAGAAAGGTTAATGAGCCTTTTACCACTGCAAATGCCACTAGGGAAAGAGCCAGATAACTTATTATGTGAGACATCAAGAGACACTAAGTTTTTGAGAGAAGGCCCTACCGATCGAGGAATCTCACCACTCAGGTTGTTCAGACACAGATCCAACGTTTTCAAACTTGTCAAACCAACAAACGAAGAGGGAATCTCTCCATGGAACCCTGACCTATGCAACAGAAGCTGTTCAAGCTTGTCTAGTTTCCCAATAAAAGAAGGAATCTCACTAACCAAATAGCTGTTTGCAGACAAATCAAGAACAACGAGCTCACTTAGCTTCCCAATTGCAGAAGGAACGATACCAGTAAGCAAATTACTTCCCAAGTTGAGAACTTGCAGATTGAACAATAACCCTAAATCTTCAGGAATCTTACCCTCGACATGGTTGCTGCTAAAGTCAAGAACTTTCAAGGAACTAAACTCAGAAATCTGATCAGGGATTGTGCCCCAAATGAGATTAGAGCTGAGATTAAGAGTCTCTAAAGTAAGACAACGAGACAAATGAAGTGGGATTGGCTGATTGAAGAAGTTTAAGGAGAGGTCAAGGTGAGTGAGGTAAGGGAGGTCACAAATGGAGTCAGAGATTTCACCAGAAAGATTCAAACTTTGAAGATTAATGGAAGAGACGTAAAGAGAAGGAGCTCTGGTACATGTGATACCAGTCCAGTTACAATGGTGAGAAGAAGAAGTGTTTAACCAACCTGAAAGAGAGCCCTTTGGATCATCAATGGAGGCTTTGAATCTGAGAAGATTACCAAGTTCCTCGGTTTCTGTGAAAGAGAAGGTCTTGGTGAAGAAGAAGAATGTGAAGGCTAGTGAGATTGAGAATTGGTGCTTGAATCTGGTAGCCATTAATGAGAGATAGAGGGTCTGCTGAATGAGTGAACAAGTGTGAGTGAGAGTGAAAAAAGCAGCGAATCATTGATGACAAGTACCACCAATAAGGTGAAACGAAGGGGTGGTTTTTGTAAATATAAAGATAATAGGGTTGGATTATGGTAAAAGAAAGAGTAGAGGGTTTAGTTTGATATTTCCCGTTAAGTTTTCGTCGAGGGTCTTTGGGAACTGGTAGATTTGTAGACAAAACGACGTCTCGGAGATTGGAATTTCGGATCGTGTCTCTCTCTGCTTCTTCTTTGTTTCAATCCGATTTCGAATCAAACCCTTTACTTCTGCTCCTCAAAGATTTCGTTTTTCCAGGTCAGTTTCTTCATCAAGCCAACATTTTTTTCTAGGGTTTTCTCCTTTTTTTGTTTGTTTGTCTGTTGCTTCACAGTCCTAAGAAGCTACTTGTTAACTTCGTGTGTTGCCTTTGAAGTTAAACCTAGTTGACTTTCTGAAGCTTAAAGAGTTCAGCTTTTTATTTATTTATTGGTCATTTTGTTCTTAATTTTGAGCAACCAAAATCATCTAATTCTGATATTTTGGATTTAAATGTTTATCTCTTAAATTCTGTTTCTTGGTTTGAATTCATAGTTGCAGCTTCATGCCAAGTTTTTGCTGGTGCTAGATTTAGAGTTTAGCTTTTTTATTTTACTCGGATATGAATACTGAGTAGTGAGTAGGAATTGAGTCAACTCGGATGTCAATACTGAATAGATTTTTGTTCTGACTAGAATTGCAAACCAAGCTACTTCAGTGTCATTAAAACTGAATTGAAATGGTTTGTGACTGTGCCTAACTTCCAAACTCAGGCATTTTCAACTGTGCCACCTTCTTAACTCTCACTGGTTTTGACTTTGATCCGCGGTCTAAGCTTAAGGTCTCAAGTCGTCGAGGGTTTCTAGATTGTTCAAGCTTCTTGTCTGATTGGGTTTCATGAATTGCTTTAAAGGTTGTTTTTTTTTCTATGACTATGTTGGTGTATCAGTATTTTCAGTTTGCTACACAAAGGGTCTTCATTGATTTTTTTGTTGCAACTAGATGTTCTATTGTTCTTTCAAGTGACATCCACATTTAATTAGCTTGCTTTTGTTCATAACTTTTGCATTTTGGTACACATTTGGTGGGATATTCTTATATATTTGAGTTTGTGACTTTTGGGTTTTGGTAGTTAGTAGATTTCTCCTTAGGACACTTCTGTGTTGAATAAGTAAAGGACTCTTTAGCGTTCTTTTTGTAGGACATAATTGAAAACTATGTTAGCAAATGTTTTTTGTGCTCATTCAGCACAGCCAATGGTCCGGATGATCAACATTTGTTCTTGATTCATTTCCTATTGATTCTTCTTGTAAGGTGTCTTAATCTTTCTTTTATTCTCTATAGCTTCTATCACCTAATTTCTTTCTTTCTGTCTTTTTCTTTTTCTTAATTTTTTCCGAATCCTGGCAGTCTGTGCACACTAAAGAATTCTCAAGAAGTTGTTACTAAAAGAGAGGCCACAAGTGGATATTGTCTTTGTTATCAAGTGTTAGTACAGAAAAGTGGTGAGAAAGTAATATGGCTGATACCAGTCCGAGAACTGATGTCTCAACAGATGAAGACACAGATCATCCTGATCTTGGGGTTAGCTCATAATCTATATCTCTCACTTATGTTCTTCAAACGATTTTGATTTTGATTTCGATGGACCGGTAAATTTTTCTGGTGTAAATTTTATGCAGTCGGAGGGAGCACTAGTGAATAATGCTGCTTCTGATTCGAGTGACCGATCGAAGGGCAAGATGGATCAAAAGGTGATATGTCCATCTCTGTAGATAAGATCATTATTTTCATTGAGCCAATGTATAATCTTTTTTGTTTCCTTATATTTTGATCCATAGACCCTTCGTAGGCTTGCTCAAAACCGTGAGGCAGCAAGGAAAAGCAGATTGAGGAAGAAGGTAAAACCTTCTGTTGGTTCTTTGTTTTATTACTTTTCTTCTTTTCTAAATTGTTGCATCCCGAGAAGCATAGCTATTTTCTACTATTTTAAGTTCTTTTAATTGGTCCCTCCATAGGCGTATGTTCAGCAGCTGGAGAACAGCCGCTTGAAACTTACCCAGCTTGAGCAGGAGCTGCAAAGAGCAAGACAGCAGGTTCAAATTTGTTTTCTTATTTCTATTGGTTATTCTTTTGTGATTCTGTATACATAAACGAAAATTTCTCTCTTTTAGGGCGTCTTCATTTCAAGCACAGGAGACCAAGCCCATGCTACTGGTGGAAATGGTTGGCTGCTTATTCTCCCTTAGCTTTCATAGTGTTTTTTTTTTTATTGCTTGTAATTTGTGGATAAGATTATTATATCCACTTGCTCTTATAAGAGTCAATGGCAGACTGACGTGGTTCTGATAGCAAAAACTGTTCATCTAATTAGCACTGGTGTAGATTTAGATTTACAAGATGACGAATCTCATGGGTTTGTTCTTGATCATGTATAACTTTTTAATTTCAGGTGCTTTGGCGTTTGATGCTGAACACTCACGGTGGTTGGAAGAAAAGAACAAGCAAATGAACGAGCTGAGGTCTGCTCTGAATGCGCATGCAGGTGATTCTGAGCTTCGAATAATAGTTGATGGTGTGATGGCTCACTATGAAGAGCTTTTCAGGATAAAGAGCAATGCAGCTAAGAATGATGTATTTCACTTGCTATCTGGCATGTGGAAAACACCAGCTGAAAGATGTTTCTTGTGGCTCGGTGGCTTTCGTTCATCCGAACTTCTCAAGGTCAGGTCAAATTTCATTTTGTCTTCACCGGTTACATCTGTTTTGCATAGAACATAAAAAGAATGGTTGTAATGAAAAATGTGTTGAAACAGCTTCTGGCGAATCAGTTGGAGCCAATGACAGAGAGACAGTTGATGGGCATAAATAACTTGCAACAGACATCGCAACAGGCTGAAGATGCTTTGTCTCAAGGGATGGAGAGCTTACAACAGTCTCTAGCTGATACTTTATCGAGCGGGACTCTTGGTTCAAGCTCATCAGGGAATGTGGCGAGCTACATGGGTCAGATGGCCATGGCAATGGGAAAGTTAGGTACCCTCGAAGGATTTATCCGCCAGGTACAACACTTGTGATGTTATTGAGATGATATCTTAAGAATATATATTATATCAACAGGGTTATAATCGTCTCTTGGTTGGTGGTGGCAGGCTGATAATTTGAGACTACAAACACTGCAACAGATGATAAGAGTATTAACAACACGACAGTCAGCGCGTGCTCTACTTGCAATTCATGATTACTTCTCACGGCTACGAGCTCTTAGCTCCTTGTGGCTTGCTCGACCCAGAGAGTGAAACTGTATTTTGGTCACTATCAGTCAGCTGTACAAAATCCATATGGGACACAAACCAGGAGAGACTATTAATCAACACTTGTCAGAGATTCATCTTACCAAATCCATCAACAAATAAGCAAATTTCTGGGAAACAAAGACTCTTTTGTCTGTAGGGTTTCTACATGGTTGTGGTAATTCATGTTGTTTTAGCTGTAGCCTTCAGTTTTTAATTTAGCATTTAAAAAGTTCAATGTTTATATATCATCTTCGATTATCTTAGAAAGGTTATTGAATTTTTGTTTGTTTTTTTTTTGTTACTTTGTGTGTGGTAAAGGTGTTTTAACCTTGCAACTTCTGTACTTGTAATCATCATTTAACAATATAAAGATTTTATTTTGAGTTTTGTGGTTTCATCGCTTGTGTCTTAAATCTTTACGGGAATTATAATGTAAATTTCAAACAGATGAAAACTAATCTCCATAGTTTTGCTTTCCATAATGTTATACAATCTTTAGTTAAAAAGAGTGACTAAACAAGCGCATTAAGAACATAAAATTACCTTAAAAATCGTTAACTATTTTTGTTAATAAAAAAAAGGGACATGTCATTGTCAAAACCAAGAATAATTTTTTTTTTTGTTGTTGTCAAACAGTGTTTGCATTTTCAGACAGAGGACTTTTATTTAAGCCCTCAGCATCTAGAGGTCCACCATCACTTGAGTTCGTCTTCCATTCCTGTTTTTGTTCAGAGACCGGGAAAATAAAATAAAAAGAAGATCGTACAAACTAAAATACCTCAAAGAAGGTAGAGACAAAAGTAGTAACCTTTGTTGTTGATTGATATTCATATCTGGTGGGTTTTAGACAAAGACCACGTCTTTGGTGATTGGAATTTTCTCGGATCTTTGTTTCAATCCTTTTTTTTTTACTAGCAACCCTTGTTTGTGGTTAAGCTCAAGCAAATCCATTCTTCAGGTTAGTTTCTCCTTCAATAGTCTTAAGGGATTTACTTCTTCAGTTTTCTTATTCTCTGCCTCTGCTTTCATGATTGCTTTTTTTCATTGAGGGCTTTTTCCTTTTTGCTTTATGAACGTGTTCAGGAACCAAATCATTGGTTGGGACACTATTTAAGTCAAATTGGTTGAGATTAGATGTTAACAGGCTCGAATTTCCGGGGCTAGTGTGCTAAATTCTGAATCTTTTAGCTCTACTTCAGTCTAATGTTCACAATAGTTACTGTTTCACCTCACGAAGATCTTTGTGCTATGATATTCCGTTGGTTCTCACTTCAAATCATATAGGTGTGCTTATAATTTACTTTGATTCTCTGGCTTTGACTACTCAAAAGTTCTTCAGGTCACTATGTTAAGTTTAGTCGTTTGGATCTTTATGAAAGAGATACCTTTTTTAGTCTCTCTATATGTCATCAGGTTAAAATATGTTTTGTTTCTCTATAACTCTAATTTTTGGTTTCTGTTTACCATCTTACTTTGACAATCGGTTTTTGTCTGATGATTTAGTAACTGAGATTTGGAAGAAAAGAAAAATGGGAGATACTAGTCCAAGAACATCAGTCTCAACAGATGGAGAGACAGATCATAATAACCTAATGGTTAGCTTGTAAAATTGTTAGGTGTTGCTTCTTTATGTTCATTAAATGGCCATAGTTTTGAAGCAAAACAGTATTTATGCAGTTCGATGAAGGGCATTTGGGTATTGGTGCTTCTGATTCTAGTGACCGTTCAAAGAGTAAAATGGATCAAAAGGTGAATATAGACATCTCTATATTGCAAGAGTTTTTTGTTTTTGTAATTGAACCTTTCAGTTATGTTTTTTCTTGTTTATTGTAATCAACAGACGCTTCGTAGGCTCGCTCAAAACCGTGAGGCTGCAAGGAAAAGCAGATTGAGGAAGAAAGTATGCTTAGATTTATGTTTCATTGTTTCAATTCTTTTTTATGTTTTTTTTACAAGCTATTTGCAAACTCTAAGATGTCCAATGGTTACTTCACTTTTAGGCATATGTTCAGCAGCTAGAGAACAGCCGATTGAAGTTAACACAACTTGAGCAGGAGCTGCAAAGAGCAAGGCAACAGGTTTTAACTGTGTTCAGCTATATATATTTTTTGTAGATATTTGCTCTTCTGCATACATAAGCATTTTCCCTTAATCTTAGGGTGTCTTTATCTCAAGCTCTGGAGACCAAGCCCATTCTACCACTGGAGATGGTGAGTTGGCTGAATCTCTATCCAAACAGTTATTTTTGGTGCATGTTTTCTATGGAATTTGATGAAATAGTTGTATATAACCATTTATTGATGATGTGGTTGAAAATTTTAGTTTTGTTGTTTATCAAGTAGAGCAAGGACTCGTTTGGTTGATGGTGTTGATTTATTAATGGTTCTCTACAGGGGCAATGGCATTTGATGCAGAATACAGACGATGGCAGGAAGATAAAAACAGACAGATGAAGGAGCTGAGTTCTGCTTTAGATTCTCACGCGACTGATTCTGAGCTTCGGATAATTGTAGATGGAGTAATAGCTCACTATGAGGAGCTTTACAGGATAAAAGGCAACGCAGCTAAGAATGATGTCTTCCATTTATTATCAGGGATGTGGAAAACACCAGCTGAGAGATGTTTCTTGTGGCTCGGTGGTTTCCGTTCATCAGAACTTCTCAAGGTAAGAAACACACCGACCGGTTTCAGTTTATCTTGTCTCTTCACTAGCAAGTTTTCAAACTTTTTACTTCTTTACTACAGCTTATAGCGAATCAGTTGGAGCCGTTGACAGAACAACAATCACTAGACATAAATAACTTGCAACAGTCTTCTCAACAAGCAGAAGATGCTTTGTCTCAAGGGATGGATAACTTACAGCAATCACTCGCTGATACTTTATCGAGCGGGACTCTCGGTTCGAGTTCATCAGGGAATGTAGCTAGCTACATGGGTCAGATGGCCATGGCTATGGGGAAGTTAGGTACTCTTGAAGGATTTATCCGCCAGGTATGTTAAAATTGTGTTGTTTACATCAAATGAAAAAAGTATTATGCAGTCATTTGATAGCACATCTTTTTGTTTGTGGCAGGCTGATAACTTAAGGCTACAAACATATCAACAAATGGTAAGAATATTAACAACCCGACAATCGGCGCGTGCTCTCCTAGCAGTACACAATTATTCATTGCGGTTACGCGCTCTTAGCTCTCTATGGCTTGCCAGACCAAGAGAGTGAACTAACAATATACCAGGATTCTCCTTCAAAGAAGGTCTTTGAGATTCTTAGCCTAAGATTTGACGACTTTAGACATGTAGCTCGTATACAAGAATATGATTATACTGTTGTGTGTTGTAATCTTTGTTTGTAATGTGACTTGAAATCATCATAGTCCCGTAACATTTGAAAAGCATTATTAGGATACAATGCGTTTTGTACAATATCATTACAAATTTATATACACAATCATATGCAGTTTCTATATATGCAAATGTAAAGATGGAAAGTGAAACATAACAAAGAAACAATAGTGGATGAGTTAAAAGATGGAGTTGGTCTCGCTCAAGATTACGAGAAGAGAGACGACGAAAGCATAGTCAACGCCTGGATTTATAGTAACCACAAAGTCTTGTTTCGCTTTGAAATATCCTCCAAATGTCGGCTTCTCCTTCACCTGATAACATTAATGTCGCATGTGAGGATGATAAATATAAAATAAAAAGATAAGGATCATGAAACATACCTCGGCGATGAGAGTGTCGGCATGTTAAACTTTGACAGAGTCGTCGGAGTAAGTGCCTACCACGCTGAAGTTGCGGACTTGGTTAGATAGAAAGAAGACATCAAGACGAGCCCTCCATTGAAGAGGATGAGAACGTTGCACTGTGAACATCAGCTCTGTTGGATCAGAGCCTTCTCCTCGGTGAACCGTCCATCGGTGATTTAACGACGTCAACTGCATGTATAGTTTTTGGTTACATAAATTTAAACAATCGGTTAAGGAATGGTAACCGGTTACACTATGACGGTGAGGGTTGGACATTCGTGTTTTTTCTTGTTTCGGTTTGGTTTCGTGGTTTACAGGTAGCACCAAAAACAGTTTATGTTCGGTTTCACAAAATTTCGGGTCGGGATAGGGTGAAAACAAAAATTGGAAGTAAAAACAAGCAACTAATCTGAAATAATAATAAAAAATCTATATTCTTAATCAATGTTGGGTTAATGTGCTTTATTTGGTATAAAAATATTGTTACTGTTTGGACTTGGTTTCGGTTTTTAAGTTCGGATTTATGTCTTTTTTTTTTTTTTTTTTTTTTTTTTTTTTGCTAAATGGCAAATATCATATAAATGAAATGTTTGGTTTTACATGGAGTTCAACCTTGAGTTGGTTTCTTGGCAAAAAAATAAAACAAGAAAGCAAAGAGATAGCTTTTGAAAATATAGAATCAGTGCAACCAATGTCTCATAAGCGTTCTGAAACGCTTCTTGAGTCTTCTTGCAGTGATGGAGTTTTTGACTTCACGATCGATTTCCTTAAATATTACTGATGGCAGCACATAAACATTGTTGTGAAGCAGATTATTCCTTTGTTTCCAGATTGCATAGATGACAGAGTGGGCGACAAGCTTACGGAGAGTTGTCGGCGATCTATTGTTCTTGACAGACATCCAAGAGAGGAGGTCAGTCCAAGTAGCAAAGGCGATGGCTGGCAGATGTAATCTAACACTCACAGCATGCCAGATAAAGCGAGCAAAATCACAAGAAAACAACAAATGATCTCTAGTTTCTGGCTGTAGAGAACAGAGGCCACATGTGGTATTCAGCTGCATTCCCCAAGTGGCGAGTCTGACTTTTGTGGGCAGGCGATCAAGTTGGGCAGTCCACATAAGAAAAGCATGTTTAGGTGTAGCGCCTTTGAACCAGACCTTACCCAACCAGTCCACAGGCTCAGCCCGCGGCCTTAGAACAGACCAAGTTTTTGAAGAAGAAAAACCATTGCAAGATTTATTATCCACCACCCAATCATAAGAGTCCAAGCCTAGTGCATCACACGGCTTGTCAATGTTGGTTAGATGAATGTGAAGGTTAAGCGCTTGTTCAGACCGAGGATCAGCGATGATCCAGCCATCAGGACTGCAGACATCAATAACTCTAGCATTTAGGGCAATTCTCAGATTTCTTGGACCGTCATCACCAATATATTTGATAAGTGGGCCAAAGGGAGTCCAATTATCAAACCAAAAGCTGGCTGTTCTTCCATCACCTATGCTGCACTTGACAAATCTCTCAGCCAGCCCTCTCAGCCTAAGCAGACATTTCCAATTCCAAGAATCAGTAGCTCTTTCAGTTTGGTTCCAAAAGCTGGTGGTTTTACTGCAATTGTGATGCTTATGCCAGGCGACCCATAGAGAGCCACTGTTAGAAAACAATAGCCAAATCATTCTCAAACACAGAGTTCTATTCCAAGCAGCGAACCGTCGTAGACCAATTCCACCTTCACTTTTAGGCAAGCAGACCTTAGACCATGCAACCTTAGCTAAGCCTTTCTTGTCCATTCTCCCAGACCACAAGAAGCGAGAGCAAAGTCTCTCAATCTGCCTTATACATCCTAAAGGAAGGATAAAAGTAGAAACCCAGAAATTCACAGTTCCAGAGATCACAGAGGCAATCAGCTGCACTCTTCTAGCAAATGATAAAGACCGCACAGCCCAAGAGTTGAATCTAGCTGTGATTTTCTGAATGAGTGGAGCATACTCTGCAACAGACAACTTTCTACTCATCAAGGGAAGCCCTAGGTAACGGACTGGTAGAGACCCATGCTTGAATCCATAGCCAGACAATGCATTGGATTCAGCATGGCTCAAACCAGCGTGGAACAGCTGAGTCTTGTCCCTATTCATATGAAGACCTGACCAACCCGCAACATCCTCAAGAGTTTCATAAATACCGTGTAAGGAAGAGCTATTCCCATCAAAAAATATCATCAAATCATCAGCAAACATCAGATGGGAAATATCGAGTTCGGCGGTTTTAGGGTGAAAGGCGATATACCCTGAATTGTACCTGGACTGCAGCAGGGCAGTGAAGACCTCCATTGTTAGAACAAATAAGTAAGGGGACAAAGGATCCCCCTGCCTCAGACCTTTAGTGCTCTTGAAATAACCTCCAGTATTGCCGTTGACTGACACAGAAAAGCTAGCAGTGGAAAAGCATTCCTTAATCCAACCAATAAATTTGTCTGGGAAGTTCACGGCTCTTAACGTTGATATAATGAAGTCCCATCTTACCGAGTCAAACGCCTTTCTTAGGTCGACTTTAAGCATTGCACTTGGCTCAATGTTCTTCTTATTGTAACCATGGACCAGCTCAGTAGCGAGGAGAACATTCTCAAGCAATAAGCGTCCAGGCATGAAGGCTGATTGAGAATGACTGATTGTAGAAGGCAGAATAGCTTTGAGTCTGACTGCTAACAGCTTAGAAATAACCTTATATACCGTGTTGAGGCAAGAAATAGGCCTGAAGTCCGTCATGGAAGCAGCATTTGGGATTTTAGGAATCAGAACAAGGTTTGTGGCATTCCATTGCTTCAGAAGCTTTCCAGAGGTGAAAAATTCTTGCACAGCTTCCACGACTTCAGGGCCTATAACAGACCAGCAGCCACAAAAAAATTCAGAAGAGAATCCATCTGGTCCACTAGCCTTATTTCTGGGTAAATCAAAGAAAGCAGCCTTTATTTGATCCGCAGAGAAAGGAGAGTTCAGAGCAGCCTGCTGTTCAGAGGAGCATCTAAAAGTGAGGAGATTATTGATGTCATCTTGGATAAAAAGAGACTGCCCTTGTTCACCTCCAAGATTCCTCTGGAAATAATCCACACAATGATTTTGAATACCATGTTCACTCTCAATTCGATCTCCATTATGGTCAAGCAAATAATGTATATGGTTCATCGCTTGCCTAGCAGAGGCCATCTTGTGAAAATAGGAAGAGTTCATGTCACCTTCCCGCAGCCATGTTACACTGGATCTCTGATAGAAAAAACTCTCCTCTGCCACGGCAAGAGTATGCCACTTCCTATTGGCCTCTGACTCTGACTCTGCATTAGAAAGGCAAGGATCAGACAACATTCTACTTTGTGCCTGTAGCAAACAATCATGGGCTTCCTTTGTCCTTTTCTCAATGTCAGAGTAATTCAGCTTGCTGAACTCCCTGATTACCTTCTTCAAGGCCTTCAACTTCATAGAAACCCGATACATAGCAGAGCCAGTAACACTTGTTGAATACCACTCATAACAGATTAAGGGTAAAAAGTCCTGATTCTTTAGCAGAAAATTTTGAAACCTGAAAGGCTTTTTTGATCTTGGAGAAGCAGAGATCAGATTTATACCACAGCACACATGATCAGAAAAATCTGGTTCACCAAAAATTCCCAAGGAAGAGGGAAACAAGGTAGTCCACTTGTCATTAACTAGAATACGATCAAGCTTTTTGGCCACCGGAGATCGTTTCCTTTTATTCCACCATGTGAAAGTGTTACCTCTATAATTCAGATCAACAAGCGAAGCATCAAGGAGATTACATCGGTTATTATATGTCTAATTAACATCGGTTATTATATAGATTACATGAAAATCAAATTTGTTATTATATAGATTACATGAAAATCAAATTTGTTAATACGTGTAATCAATCACCTTCTCGCGCATGGTGAGGAGAGGGTAACCGGCGTTGTCACGGAGAACACGTTTCTTGTTGAAGCTGTGGTGAGGACCGTCAACACGAAGAACGACGTTAGACTCGAGGTCGACAACCGCCAGCTTGGCACCGCTGAGTCCTTTACAATTCTTCTTAACGGTCAGCTCGAGTGGGTAAGGACAGCAGAAAACGTCACTCACCACCACCACGTTTGTGTTCTGCGCAGCCACGGGCACTCCGTACGCATACGCATTGCTCATTTTCTGATACGGACCCATCATTGCTTCCTGCTCTTTTTCCTGGAGTCTCTATATTTAATATAATCTGATTTGTTTGATTAATTGCAACTCTTTAATTGTGTCTCTCTATACATAAATTTATAGACAACACATCATTTGCGTGTGTTTGGTCAAGAAACCTTTTTTAATACGGGTTTTTGTGTATTTTATCATTGTGAGAATGGGTCTTGGTCATTGGTTTATAGTACTTTACTACTTTATATTAGAGATCAGGTTTGAATAGTATATAAAGATTTACAGTTCTATACGATAGTTGAAAAAGCAATTTTTCTTATTTGTATAATATTCAAACCTTGGATTTCTTTGCACAATAGTTTGAACTTCATTTCACGATATCAAATCCTAAAAATATCAAATCCTAAAAATAAACATAGTCAAAGGTACCGCTATATCGGAACGGTCAAAAATCCAACAGAACTGGGATTTTAACCGTCAATAAATCATTTAATCTTATTTGAATGCTTAAGAAATTATTAAGAGTTATAAAATATA